AGAGAATCTGTGTAAGTAAGAGCTGACCTGAACCTGAGCCAAGCGGATGACACACGCCTGAGCACGACCCCACCTGCTCCGGAGAAGAGCCGCTTCTTTTCTTTGGAATTAAGAAGGGAAGTGAGGAGGGTTGCCCGGGGGTGAGAAAAAACAAAGCGGGGATCAGATTAAAGGATAGTTAATGAGACCACGTGCTCTCTGGAGGGGGGTCATTTCAAAGGTGTGTTAATGTAGATGCACAAAACCAGTGGCTGGACTTGCTTAAGGCAAAGGCAAATGTTTTACTAAAAACTTCTATGCCTGGGGCGTGACTACCCACTGTGACTTGCCCAGAGGGAATTTATGATCTGATCTTTCTCCATCCACGTCGTCCGTCCCCACGTACAGTGAACAAGCACATGGAATTTAATGTTGATGTGTCGGTTGGTGGTCCTCAGAGTTCTTGGTGTACACACCTTCCCTGGGGACAGCATCAAATTCAATGGCTTCCACCACATCTGAGACCAGAAAAGTCGGTGTTCCGGTCAGTGTTTGTGTAGCTTGTCACTACCAGAACCAATAAGTGGAGACAAGGATCGAATCTTTACGGGAGCTATATTCACCCGTAAAACCGTCTTAACATATCCTCCCAAGCCAACCTTTTTATAAGGAGAAGAAAGGGTGGGTAAGGGGTTTGGGAAAACGTTAATTAGATAGAAGGATAGATAAAGGGTTTAGAAAAAAAGGGCTAATTGGATGAGTTGCAGTCAGGCAGCAATTTTTCTAGTACTTCTTTATCATTGATCAACAATTCTTTACCTGCATCACAGAGGTACCCTCCCTGGGATGCCGTGGCTCAGATACCGTCTCCGTGGCTTTGCAGACCCCCTGGCACACAAAGGTCAAATTGCTAGTCGCCCTCCTGGAGCCAAGCATTCCAGTTTCCAGATAACTGCTTTCCACTTGCATTAATCACTTAAGCCTATCAACTAAAGCCGAAATCTTTAACTCCCGAGTTCGAGTTTGCCTATCACTTCTACTGAATCAGCTTCTATCCATTCAGCTTTCTTCCAGACAGCTCTGAAGTCTCCCAGCACCAGAGATTGTACCCGCCAACTCTGCTTCCTCCTCCTCTTCTCATGAATGGCCTTACCACTGACCCTGTCACTCTCCACCAGGCAGACTGAGGGGCGTCCCTTACTCCTGTGTAAGAGGGCTGCACTCAGGGCCCCACAAGGATGTGAAGGGCAGACTCCTAGGTCCTACATGCAGTAGGCAGGAGGCCGCCCGGGCTGGTGCAGCTGGCAAAGCAAGGCACAGACCCTGCTGGCAAGTGGAAGGGCTGCCCTCTGTGAGTTTAGTTGTTTGAGGGGCCCAGTGTGGCTGAGGGTGGCACAGGCAGCAGGCCCACAGTCCCGTGTGTTCCTCTCCCTCGGGTGGGGGCAGTGAAGACACCGAACTTCAGGGGACAGAGACAGAAGCCTGGGGACAGAGACAGAAGCCCAGGGACAGCCTCCTCCAGCCACTGTCTTGCAGGTCGCACTTTGTACCCTCCAGCCGCTCACTGGGAGCCTCAGGAGGAAACCCAGGCTTTAGACAGGAATCCATGTTTCCATTTTCCCCCAGCCTCGAACTGGGACTGGACATTGGTTTCTAACACAGTGCCTTCTCTCCCTCGTGTCCATAGATTTTAGTAACGATAAAAATAGTGAACAGACCTTGAACTTTTACCCCGACCCAGGCTGCCTTAAAGCTGTGTCTGGACTCTTCCTAATGTTAGTGGCAGAAAAACGGTACCAGGTGTTAACCTCGGTTCAGCAACCGCAGTTCTGGAGTTCCGGACAAGAGGAGACTTCAGGCCAAGACTCACAATACAAGAGAAAGTTTTCTTAGAAAGCCACAGAGGGAGAAGGAGGGAGCCGTAGAGGAAATGGGCTCAGGAAACAAGTTACAGCCAAAGAAGGGGCCTTGGAGGTTAGGAGTCGGGGAGAGAGATACGGGCTTTGAGGGGGGAGACGTGAAGGAGGGAGGAGAGGCTCAGGTGTCCTGGGGGGCAGCTGTTGATGTATGTGTGTGTTTGTGGGGGCAACGGGGAGAGACAGAGAGAGAGAGCCCCTGTGGAAAGAAGGGGGAGGGGACAGGCACTGGTATGCTCCGTACAGAGAGCCTCTCTGGGTTCTCCATCCTGGGGGCTTTTATCAGAGGTCTCAGGGGAGGCTCTCCATAGAATATTCATCAGCTTTCTGGGTGTGTCTCCTCAGAGTTGTGATCTCCACTGATTGGCTGGCACCCAAGGTCATTAGTCATCAGCCTCAGCATCCTCTGCCTGTCTTTGCTGCTTCTCTGGGCCTGGAACTGAACCACAGCTGAGGCCTAGGTGTCACCTCCAGGAGTTAATGCTTAAGGGAGTGGTCGTGCCGGGGTTTGTAGTTTGGCCCCTTGCTCAGCACCCGGGGCCCCTTCCCGAGTGACACACTGCACTGGGCCCATCTTTCTGCTCTGCTCATGCCTGCCTAACCGCCTACCACCACAACACCCTAAGTACTGCAGTTAGGTCTACTTTACTGGGCTCTCAGAGACTTTGGTATCAAGTTCTAAGTCCTCTTCATAAAAGTGAGTCCTTCCTGACCCCGGGCCACACACACCAGGCTTTTCCTAGCCTCTCTGCCTCCCTGGAGGACCAGTCCCTATACGGTCAATGTCAGAAATGTCCAGACCTACAGGGAATTTTTTCGAGGCTTCATTTGAGCCAAACTGACCGCATATGACAGGGAGCAAGATCTCCAATGATCTGGAGGGACTGTCGTGAAGATGGCATGGAGGTGGGAGAAGCCAGGTGGGGATTGGATTACAGGATAGTTAAGAGCTCCCTTTGAGGGGTATTACATCTGGCATTTCAAAGGTGTGTTAACTTAGATGCACAAGAAAATGACTTGAAACCTTTCAGTAAAGAAGTTACAGGCCTGGCACATGACCACCCACCGTGATCTGGTCGGTTAGGAATTTACGATTAGATCCCCTTTGAGGCTGCTTTCCGCAGAAACCCCCTTTTTCACCCACAAGTCCTGTCCCGTGCCTTTGCCTGGCCGACACCTGCTCCTCGGAGAACTAGGTCAGCCCCCACCGGCTCGAGAAAGCCTCCCCAACCTGGCACCCTCCGCGCAGACAGCACCAGCCACGCTGACGAGCTGCTCTGCGCCGCTGCTGACTTGCCGGTGTCTGCGCCAGAAGCGGGTTTCTGAAGTAAGGCCCGACTGGATGCTGTGTTTCTTCGTAGGTCCCGGGTCCCTGGCATAGTAGGGGGCAAACGGGGAATGCGTCAGGAGACAGACTGGTGGGTGCGAATTTTGTAAATCGAGATCAGTGTTCCAGTTTACACCAGGACTTGACTCCAGGTTGAAGATGAGCCCTAACTAAGCAAACTGCTCCTGGGAGCCGGGTGCTCCCCTGCCCCCAGCAACGTCCATGCATTCGCCTGTTTAAATATCCTTTAGGTGAATAACGGCCCCAGGATCCTATCCCCCGGCTCTTCAGTTTCCCAGAACTTTTTTAAGAATCTGTAGCAGCAGCGGACGAAACGCGGTCTGTTTCAGATAAGATAATCCTGTTCAGTTACTGTGTTCCTGGGCTCAGAGGCAGCGGAAATCGGTGTTTCCAGAGTTTAACTTCGTCAAGATTGTATGAAATAGCTTCAGCTCCCTGCAGCACAAAGTTCTGTCTTCTCAGAAAACATTCCCTTGTGCCGAATGGTCGTTTTGCTTGAAAAATATATACAAAAATTTTAAAAAGATGATGGCACATGGTATAAAGGTCTTCTAAACAGTTTAAATGTCTTTAATGATGTGGGTATGTCTACTCTAAAAATATGCATTGGAAAGTTTACAGATGTCTGCTCGTGGAAGCTGAAGGGAAGGAGAGGCCTTAACAGCTGAGGGTCTCTAACCAGGGTCGGTAATTAGCCCGGAGACTACGGGCCAATCTCGGCTGCAGCCTCCCTGGCAGCTCCCTCTGCCACGCCCCGAGTGCGGGAGGGGCTGGCTTCCCGCAGTCCCCCAGACCTCAGCTGGCCTGCCCTCCTCCCAGGCACTTCTCTCACCAGCTGCTGGCCCACACGCATGCGGGGAAAAGCCCCGAGACCTAAAATCTGCCTCTGTGAGGGAGGACTGGGAAAGGACTGGGAAGATGCGGGCCACTCCAGCCTGGCACCCAACAGAGTTGGTTAAGGGACATTTACACACATGGCAAGTCTTGGGCCGTGGAAGGATGGAGTGGCTATCCTCTGTGGCACTTGGCAGGTGCTGAAAAATTATATAGAACAGGGCAGGATGGATGGGGGGCGGGGCTGGCCACCGGTATCAGATAAGGGAGGCCAGGAACCAGCATGCTGTGGGGTCTGGGGAGAGGGTCGAGCAGACCCTCTCTGAGAGGCATTCGAGAAGCAGTCTCTGTTCTGCCCCTGACCTAGCTCTCTGGTCTGGCCGTGGTCGCATCATGGAACAGTCCCTCCTCCACACCGTCGTGGTGAAAACAGTCACTTCTGCCCCACCTCTCCCTTCCTTCACTGTCACCATCTGAACACCCACTTTTTACTACTGGGTACACCTTTGTTGCCAGACCCCCTGTTCAACCGGAGGGAGGGGCTGGCCTGTGTCCCCCAAGGATGCAGCCCAGGGCCCCAGACGGGCGTGGACAGGCACTGAACAGGGGTCCGTGAAGGAGCCCGCCCCACAGTCCGGCAGATACCCGTCTGCCCTTATGTAGCTGCTCTCACCAAGCCAGCCTCCAGCCTCGGTGCGACTGCTTCCCTTTCTCAGCCTTCTCTTTGCGAGTAGGTGTCAGCCAGCGGTGAAATGGCATGATGAGACCAAAATGGGAGATCTCCCCCTGAAGAAGCACAGACGGTGTCCAGGTACCACGGCTGCTGCCAACATTCCGGTGCCACATTCCCCCAGGATGTGATTCACGGCAATGAAGATGCTAGCAGAGCTTCCACTCACTAAGACTCAGTTTCTCTATTTCAGGAGACTCCGGAGAAGGAACATCACGTTGATGTGGCGTTCACAACAGAGCGCTTTAAACCAGAGGTAAGCTGCCCTAATTCATGAAGTATCTCATTAACAACTCAGATGGATGTATTTTTTAAAAAGTGAGAATATTGCCCCTGGCTGGTGCAGCTCAGTGGTTTGAGTGACAGCCAGCCTGTGAACCAAAAGGTGGCTGGTTCAATTCCCAGTCAGGACACATATCTAGGTTGCAGGCCAGGCCCCCAGTTGGAGGTGTGCGAGAGGCAACTGAATGATGTATCTTTCACACATCAATGTTTCTCTCTCCTTCTCTCCCTTCCCTCCCCTCTCTCTAAAAATAAATAAATAATACCTTTAAAGAGTGAGAATATTAATATATAGTGGCCTGAAAATTTGTGGGTTTTCTTCTCGCCTTTATTTTCTATTTGTTTTCAAGAACTGAGAAACGAAGCTAGGTGGGAACTCGAGAGTTTATTGCTTCTGCAGAGCTGCCTTTAAAACCGTCCACACAGCCCTCACTCCTCCTTCCTTGACTCCGGGAGGGACTTTCGCAGCTCCCTCTGGTAGCCCTCCCGACACCCCAGAGTCCTCAGAACGATTCGCTCTCAAATGCCAACCTATTCCCCTTCCTGTCAGCTGGTGACATTTCTTGTTAGCAGACCCACATAGCATGAGGCCGATTCCAGAAGCTACCTTCCACAGAGGCATTCTGTAAAGCACAGAGCAGGGCCGGGCATGCCACAGGCATCATCAGCTTCCCTGTAATTCTTTTTTTTTTAAATCCTCACCTGAAGACATGCTTTATTGATTTTAGAGACGGGCGGGGGGAGGGAGAAAGAGAGGGGGAGAGAAACAATGATGTGAGAGACAAACTGATTGGTCACCTCTTATGTGTCCCAGCTGGGACCCAAACCCGCCACCTAGGCAACCTAAGATGATGCTCCACCCAAGCAAGACACACAGCCAGGGCCTCTCTGTGATTCTGACCAGGCAGGCCGTGGTTTGCCAGCTTCCTTTCCCCTGTCCTCAAAAAGAGAGTAAACAGAAAACACAGACATTGGAGCCAGATGAACTTCCATGTGCTGGGCTCAGCTGGGAGGCAGCAGCAGGGCGGAGGGAGACCAGCCCAGATTCTCCCTGTGTGCTGTGGAGTCCCAGCAGCCAGAGAGGTGAGCCCTCAGCAGCCGGCACCAAGGTGTCTTAGGAGGCAGAGGTTTGGAGGGGAGGCCATGGCCCTCAGCCTGGTGCTTTGGGGGAAGCGCTTACCTGTGTTCAGAAACAAGTCCTAGCAAGACAATACTATACTCAGACTTTGCTAATTTATCTAAGAATTAAAATTGTTCTTTCTTTTTTTAAGATTTTTATTTATTTATTTATTTATTTAGACAGAGGGCAAAGGAGGGAGAAAGAGAGGGACAGAAACATCAGTGTGTGGTTACTCTTGAGTGCCCCCAACTGGGGACCTGGCCTGCAACCCAGGCATGTGCCCTGACTGGGAATCGAACTGGCGACCCTACTGGCGACCCTTTGGTTCACAGGCCAGCACTCAATGCACTAAATCACACCAGCCAGGACTAAAATTTTTCTTAAAGCATAAGGAAGATGCCTTTAATTGCAAACTGAAAGTGTTATCTTAAAGATAAAGGGAAAATAATTACTAGCTTATTTTGACGAACAATGTTTCTCTGAAAAGCACATCCAACTAATTGAAATGTTCCATTTCATGGAGTGAAGAGTCCTTTCATCTTCAGACAACTGCTTTGATTCTGCAGAGCCATTTTGGGGGAAAGAAAGGAACGGAAAACAAAACAAGGGGCGACACCTGTTATTTTCCTTCTTCTCTAAAAACAGCTTTGGCATCAAAGGATGTACCAGCCCATCTTCTGCCTTTGATAAGCCTCTTCCTGATGCCCTTCACCTGTTTTTCTACATTGCACTATTTATTAGGATTTTAATGTACCAGGGAAATGTCCTCTCTCTCAAAATAAGCACTCACAGGAGGAAAAGTTGCCCATTGGAAAGCCAATAAGCAGATCCAGTTTTAAAGACTTGTTGTTTCCTTGGGGGCTTTTCTTTATGTTGTTTGTTGTTGTTGTTGTTGTTGTTGTTGTTGTTGTTGTTTCAACTGAGACTCCACCCAACTGAAACAACTGAAAAAGTGAAAAGAACTCAACAGCTCAACCAACCACATTATCACAGGAGTTCGTAACTCGGGGCCCACGGATGGGTCTGAGTGGGGCCATGACTAGGGGCCCACGAACTTCCTCAGCTTCCAGACCCAGTGTCGATGGGATGCCCATATGCACATTTTGTTCTGGGAAGATGTGACCTTTTTGAAAGGGTGGAGAAACGCTGTCCTGAAAATGAGTCATACATTTGCTGTCCACTTGATGCATCAGTACCCAGCTCCAGATTTCCCTGGATGGGACATGCGGAAGGGGACCCCAGAATGCTCAGTGCATGCACACTTAGAGTGAGTGCAAACAGATGTACTCCCGGTCACGCAGGGAGTGGGATCAGTCCCATCTGGGCGCTCTCAGCCTCCACCGCGTCCGGATCAGATTTCGGAGGTGAGTCACGGAGTTCGTGCAGAGCCAGAGCTCTGGCATCAGACAAACAGGAGCTCAAGTCCTGGTTTCCCGCTCCCTAGTGTGAGACGTGGAGTGGCTTCCTCTTTAAACTTCAGCATCTTAATCCGTAAAATTAGAATAAGAAGACCAAGTTCATAAGGCAGCATGAAGATGTTGCTGTTTTTGTTAATAGGAACCAGTCTCACCTTCTGGTTCAAGTTAGCAAGCTGGAGGCCTGTTGTAACGAAGCATTACACTGGTCCACAGCAGACAGTCGGGTGCCCACTGTCCCGGAGGTTGGATCCAAGCCGTACTCACGAGACATCAGTGGTGTGTCTGTGGAACAGGCCCAGCATTATTTTATGAGGGCACCATCAGCAAGCGGTTTACATGACAGCAAAGAGTGAAGGACTGTTGTTTGTGTTCAGCTGTGAGCACAAAAATCACTCTCTACGAAGCAAAGGCCCCCAACTCTGTTGATACTGCTTATACCTGCCAGGTACAAGGAATTACTCGTGTGTGTGTGTGTGTGTGTGTGTGTGTGTGTGTGTGTGTGTGTGTATTTGGGTGGGGAGTGAGAAGGAACCCATCTATTTAATTCTAAAATCTTCATTTCAGGATGATAAGGAGAAGCCTTTGGGTGAGTGCGCTGCTCGGGTGATTTTCAGGAAGGGGAAGCCCAGACCGGCTGTCAACATCTACTGTGAAGGGCTCACAGAGAAGAACAAAAGACAGCAAGAGGATTACCTGCTTTACAAACACCTGAAGCAGCTTAAGCCCCTCTTGGGTGTAGTCCGCATACCTGGTATGAACCAATGTCTGGAATTTCTATATTCAGGAGTGTATGTGATTACAGAACCTTAAAAAGAATCATCATTTAAGTTTTTATCCCCCCAGTGGCATTCTAATCCAACTATAAAATGTGGTGCCCCTCACTATTTGAACAAAACTCAGAAATCTCATTTTCCTGTTCTTCACCTCCAGTACAATGTAGGGTCTGTGCTATTTTTCTCTCCTCTGACAAGGGAAAGGCAAGAGGTAACTCTCCAAGGAATTGGTAGGGGTCCTTGCAACAAGACATGCACGTAGGGGTGCACTCTCCCAGGTGGAGTCCAGAGCCTGAGATGACATTTCTAGAGGTTTCTGGTGGTGGCTGCAGAAGCTTGAGGTGACAGACACCAGCCAGGGCCTCCACTGTGCCCATCAGGCCGTCCGTGCCAGGCCTGAGCGAGCCAGCCGACCGTCTCCAGGCCTCGCTGGGAGTCTGCAGTGGAGTCAAGTTTATCTTATTTTAGGGCAACAGCTAATGGGCAGCAGTGCCATCTCTAATCAGGAGTGAGCCCCGTCCGCAGCTGACGCGAAGCAGAGCTCGCCCGTCCAGGCACTCAGCCGTGTGCGGGCAGCCACGGAGACTCGGCCCTTACCGGCAAATTCAATTTTCAAAACCACAAAAGTCATCTCTGGACTCCCACTTGGGTATTAAGCTTGACATCTGACTGCTGCTGTTCCCTCACTTGCCCAGAGACTGTGACAGACCCACGTCAGTGTGGGAGGTCTGTGGTCGCCACTCTGAGCACTCCGTCCTGGCGGGGTGAGCGTCCGGCCCCATCGATGTACTGAGACTCGGTGTTCTCCAGGCCCGGAGCTGCACCACTGACCCCTGCGTTTCTGAAGTTCAGAAGCTTGGGTGACTCTTGCTCTAGTTCTCTGACCACTCAGATTGAATCCTGTTCCAAATGGTTGTGAGCAACAACTCAGGTCCTATGTTACAGAATTTGTTTCTATTTAGCACTGCCTGAAATAAGTGGGCTAATGGCAAATACTTAAAATATATAGTTATTTAGGGTTTTTTTCTCTCTTTAGCATTAGTTGGGGAAAAATGTCCTCTTTAAAACACAACTTTTAGAAACTTTTAGGACCTTTTCTTTGCAGATTTGCCACAAAATCCCTACATTTTGGACACTTTTTTTTTTTCAAAAAGATTTTTATTTATTTTTATTTTTAGAGAGAGGGGAAGGGAGGGAGAAAGAAGGAGAGAAATATCAATGTGTGGTTGCCTCTCGTGTGCCCCCCACCAGGGACCTGGCCTGCAACCCAGGCATGTACCCTGACTGGGAATTGAACCGGCGACCATTTGGTTCACAGGCCAGCACTCAGTCCACTGAGCCACACCAGCCAGGGCAAGTTTCAGACACTTTTTAAAAGTGCAGGTTAACTGCTTCATGTTCAGTTAATAAATCCTATATGCCCTCAAGGATCATTCTACTACAATCTAACTTAATGTGGCTACAACAAAGCTTCAAAAAATTTTTAGTAATAGAGGGTACCTTTTCATCAACAAAACTTACAAGTTCTCTTGTCACTTTAAATTCAGCAGAGATATTTAATGGTGCCCTATTTATAGCCTATGTATGTACATAAAATTGTCCATTGAAAATGGAAAATGTTTGGTTCCAGAGAAAGTGAATAAAAACCATGGAGCGATCTTTGCAGTAGCCAGTTCGGATCTTAGCAGATGCCGGTCAGTGAGTAACTGGCCTGCAGCACTGGCCTGGGGCCCTGTTTCCTGAGGACTGACCAGTAGGATGAGCTGACGGGTCTCGGGACATCCTTGCTCCGCACTGTTTCTCCTCTGAAGAAGCAGTTGTCTGGGTTTCATTATGAGTCAGTTTCCCTTTTTCTAATGAACTTGTAGGCTTCCTAGGGCCCACTGCATGCAAAGCAGAGGGTGGGGGCGCCCAGCTGCAGCCCTCTGCCGACTCTGGGGCAGCACCAGGGGTGTCCACACTTTCAAACGCCCTCGTTATTCACCACCTTTAGTGCGACCAATTTCTCTCCTCTGCTAATGGGTTTTCATCTTGCAAGTCCATGAACAATTATCTCATAAATTACTTGCTAAAATTTGAGCTCTTAAAAGTCACAAGAGGTCATTTATTAATCATTGTATCCCTACCTCTAGCAGTATCTGATACTAAGTAGGATTTTGGGCTTTTTGCAAATGTTTGCTAAATTTAAAAGATTTCAGGTCCAAAAAAAAATGCCACAGGAAAAACCCACTTGTTTCTTCATGTGTTCAAAACCAGTGATAGTGATGCTGCCAGTACGCGCGTCAGAGAAGGATGGAGAGCCGGCAGGTTGGCAAAGCCCCTCGCAGGGACTGGAGACCCCAAACTAGGAGGAGATGTGGGCTGGGGGGCGTTTTGATCTAATTATAAAATGCTCCTCAACTAACAAGATTTTAAATTGTCTTTGAGTGCCATTTTTTATAACACAGCAAATAGCCTTGGAATTGTTGTATAGCAGCTCTACTTGAAGCGTGTACATCTCAGCGTGATGGAGACACAGACACGCCTATTGCTGCAGCGCTTGCTGTGAGAGAGATGCCTGCAGTGACCAAGCCCTTATTTAATTACTGAAATTTTTGTGCCCCAAATGCTTAATACAAATGGTTTTGTTTTTTTGTTTTTGTGCTCTCAGACCGTCACGGATACATCGATCCCTCTCTGAGACCCTTGTGGGATCTGGCCGCCCTTGGCAGTTCTTACGTGATGTGGGACAAGACAACGAGTGTTTTACGATACTCCCTGGTACAGCTCACCAGTGTGAAGCAATGGGTAAGGAAAACTGAAAATTCACTTGTGCCACAAGAGCTGCACCAGTGCTGTGTGCTTAGACTAAATTACTGCCAATGTGTAACTTCACGGCAGGAGCTTTGACTGCACTTCATTCATTCAATACATATTTGCAATGGGCCAGGTGTCGTGTTAGGGACGGACAGAGCCGTGAACAGAAAATGCAGTGTGGTTGCCATCATCAAGATTAATTCCAGAGAGGGAAGATAAGAAAGACAGTGAGCTAATGCATAAGTAAATATGTCTCAAATGGTGATCCATGCTATGGAGAAAAATTAAGTAGGGAAAAGGGAATGTGGGGTGTTGACAGAATTGCTGCTAAGATGGTCTAAAGTAAGCCCCCTCCAATTTGAGCAGAAGTGACACTGGAGCAGAGGTCCAAGGGAAGCGAGCGGCAGCAGAGAGCTCCAGGCAGAGGGAGCCGAAGCAGCGGGGTGGCTGATGGGAGGGAGAAACATCAGTGCAGGCCCGTGTGGCTGGAACAGCGGCCAGAGCGCCAGGAGGGACCAGTTCATGGCACGCTGGAGGCCATTAGAAGAGCCTCTCCTGCCCACTAGGGGCTCCGCAGAAGAGGGGCCTGATCTGACTTGCAGCAGGATCCGTCTGGCTGCTCTCCTCAGAACTGACTGTAGAGGCACAGGTGAGGTGGGAAGACCAGTCAGGTGTGGCGATAATGCAGACGAGGCCTGGTGGGAGCTCGGACCAGGGGTGGCAGCGGTGGAGGTGGGGAGGCGTGTTTGGATTCAGGCTATATTTTGAAGACAGACTGAGAGTGTCTGCTGGTGGATAGCATATGGATAGTAGAGGATGAGAAAACTCAAGGATGGTTTATAGAATTTTCGCCTGAGTAACTGGAAAGGGAGATTTCATTCACTGATTGGAGACAACTTCAGAAAAACAAATTTGGGGAGAAATCAGCTTGATTTGGGGCATGCTAAATTCTATACCCAAGTAAGGGTGTAATGTATAGTCACCTGTACATAAGGGTCTGAGTACAGGGGAGAGAGGTCTGGGCTCAAATCGTCACCTTGCGGGTGGTTTTTAAAGCCCCAGGACCTGGTGAGACAACAGAGAATGAGTGCCGTAGAGAAAGACGAGCTGTGTGAGGACTGAGCTCTGAAACACGTCAACTGCAGAGGGGGGAGGCTGGGAAAAGAAAGTGTTTCAAAGGTGAGGGTCAACTCACTGTACCCAAAGCCGATGGAGAGTCGAGGAGCCGAAGACTGAGAATCACCCACGTGGTTAAGGCAGCTGGACGTCACCGGGGCCATCTCACCGGCACCATCTCACCGGCACAGTGGGGCGAAGGCCTGACCGCATAGGTTCAGGAGAGCGCAGGAGCAGAGGAGGTGGACGCCCCATCTCTTTCCAAAATTCTGGCTGTCCAGGGGAGTAAAAGGAAGGGAGGGGCTGTAGCTGGAGGATGGGCAAGCACAGGGTTGAAAGACGGTTTGTTCTTGGTTGTATTTTTAGGTTGGGAGATTTCACAGCATATTTATAGGTTGATGAGAAAAACCCAGTAGAGGGGCCGAAGTTGGACTCGTAGGAACGAGAAGGAAGAATTGTTGGAGTTAAGATCTCTGAGTAGGCCGGAGAGGAGGAGATCAGCCCAGGAGATGAGCTCAGACAGGAACACGGAGGCTCACCTGCAGGGAAGGCAGAGACGAGGGGCGGCGATGCCAGTAGGAGGGTGGATATCCGGTGGTAGCCCGTAGAAGCTCTGTTTCAAATGGCTTCTGTCGTCTCAGTGAAAAACCAGGCAAAGCCATCAGCTGAGAGCCAGGAGGTTCGGGAGTGCAAGGACTCGCGCATCGAACGTCTGCGGGAGTTAATTTAGCGGCGCGCCAGGCACCGTCAGCGGGGTGGTGGGTTCAGCCACACTGGCGTGCGTGAAGCACAGAGACATGGGCGTGTCCAGAGTAAACAAGAGCGACGGCTCTGAGAGAGGCACGCTGAGCCAACCACACGGATACATGTCTAAAACTCACCTTCTTTATGGATGTGTGGAGCAGGGCACTGACCCACGGCAGGATGGGCGGTGAACGTCCACGAGGGCGAGGACTTGCCCAGCCGCGTGTCAGCGTCAGCAATGCCCGCAGTCCTTCCGGGCGCCTTCCAAAGGCCGCTTGTAAATCAGACAACTACACACGTACTCATCACCGTGAACACATCTCTTTCCCTTTAAAGGGTGCTTTTTCATAGAAATTACATTTGACTGATTGATTACATTTGCTTCATAGTGAGGCAAAACTTGCTCCCTCTCTCTGTCTCATCCACCAAGATGAGCATTTCCTTAACAACAGGCTTTTCCCTGAATTGAGAAACTGGGGGAACTCTTTTGTGTACAGTTGAAGATCGTGTCAAGATAATGAATGAGAGAGAGAGAGAGAGAGAGAGAGAGAGAGAGAGAGAGAGAGAGAGAGAGGGAGGGAGAGAGAGGGAGAGAGAGAGAGAGCAGATCAACACAGATAACAGAGAAAATAAGGATCTTTCAAGGCCAGTGTTACCTTGCAGTTTTACATGCGCTGGCCACACTAACCACCAGAACACAGCGCAGTTCAGAGACAGCAGCCCCTCTCTCCCAGGCTCTAGCCAGCCCTCCATCTGTCCATTAATACCCCTCAACCCACCGGCAGGAGGGAAAGCGGGAACATTGTCAGTGTGGACAACAAAAATGCTGATTTTTTTACATTGTGGGGTTTGGGTTTTAGATGAATAATAAATGAATATGCAGCCGACTGGCTGGGTCACCCAAGGCAAACTGCATCTCTTAGGGCCTATTAAATGAGGATTAACAAATTCACTGAAGTCACTGCAACTAACATAGATCTAAATCACTGATGGAATTGGGTAATTTGGTTTCAAAGTTAATATGCATTTCGGCTTAGAGTTCTCTTAAAAGTATGTACATATTTCCAGATTTTCAAATTCTGCCATTCAGTGGCTACTTAAGATTCCCGTGATCTTTCAGCAACACGCAAAATAAGCAACGGTTTTTTAGAAAGTCACCCAAATCAGGAAATCTAGGTACTGCTGTCCTGGGGGACTAGAAGGCGGATGGCAGAGCCAACAAAGCTGGGACTACCCAGCACACACACTGGGGGTCCCCGGAGGTGCCCTGTGACCCTAGGTCGCTCAGGAAAGTACAGGGATTGCAGTTTTTCCAGAAGGTTTCCGGGTGGAAATTACTACCTTGACACTCAGGGTTAAACTCATCTTTTAATGCAAGTGTGTAAGGGACTGCAGGCTTATAAACCCACAGCCTCAAATGAACTAAGCTTGAGGGGAGTGCGGGCTACGGAAGAGAGGGCTGAGTACAGATATAACGTAAGACCCATCTTAACTGGCCCAGTTACTGCTTTAGAACCGAGCACAGATGTCACTCCCAGTATCCCACAGACAATGACAAGGTCAGGGGAGATAGCTGCTGGCTAGAGGGAAAAAAATGGGTAAAGACTTTCCTTACACTCCGAGCCTTTAATACGACTGAGAAAAGCAGAACTGAATATTGTTCCAACTCTTGTCAATACCGGGTACTGTCAGCACCCCAGATGGTCCACCCTGCAGCACATCGCAGTCCGTCCGTCCAAGTCCCCCCGAAACTGGAGGCCCCACTGGCCAAGGGGATGTTTCAGAGACCATCTTACTTATTCAGCTAAGACGTCTATTTTTGATAGCATCTACTAATAGCCTAAGCTTCCTTACGCTCTACTCAAACCACACTGATTCTGCAAGGGATCATTCTCTCTCTTTTTGGGGGGATTGTGGGCAGGTAGGGGTGGGTGGTGGGGTGGGTGGTAGTGAAAGGGAACAAACAAAGCACTTCCCGTCTGTCTCTCTAGGAAGATTAAAGTGCCGAGCTACCAGGAATTGTCACAGTAAATCACCCTCGGTTTGGACTACAGTGATTTGGCATTTGTGACGGTTTGAAGAGAAGCCAGGGAGATTATTTCTGAATAGTATTAAAAATAATGACTTCTTGGCAGAGCTCGGTTTTGTGGGGGCAGTCCAGCCCTGGAACACCTCGCCAGGCTGGGATGCGCAGTGTCCCCTCTGCAGGGTCCGCTCTGCAGTCTTCAGCGAGCCCTGCTTTTCGGTCTGGTTGAAGGGGCTTCCTCCCGCAGGCGGAAGAATCTGCAAATACAGACGTGCGAGGGTCTCCGTGACCTTGCTGAGGAAGGTCTTCATTAGGTGGCCCAGGGTTTCTAAGCATCACGATAACCCAAGTTTTTGCATCAAAAATGAGTAACACTGTGTATTCAGCAGAGCAGTTTGTCAAATGCGGTTGGAATCCCATCCTTTGTGTCCAGCGCTGCCTTTTTTTTTTTGCTACAAATCTGGAGACAGCCATGACTTCTTTCAGAAGTGCTACTTTCAGAAACAGAAGAAGGCGTTGCTCTGAAAAACCCTTTAAGTTTATAAGTAAAACCAGTTTTTTATTACAGAAAAATACATGGTTCCTAGGTCTTGAGAAACAGTGAAGGCAGAACAAAAGCCTGAGGCAAAAATCACGTGACTCAGCAGCCTGCTCGAGGGGGCCGCCTTAGATAACGGTTCCTTCCAAGGCCAGACAGCTGCCAAGTGGGAGTCAGGCCAGTCTCCATACACTCTCGAACCCAGCGATGCCCGATCGACCCCTGGGGCCTCCAGAAACGGTTTCTTTATCAGAGAGTCACCCACTTTTCTCACGAGGTCTCTGACCTTGCAGCTTGTGCCTCAGACACTGGCTTTGAGTGTTCACATATGCACTGCCGGGCAGGAGGCAGGGAAGCCTGCCTACTGATGCAAAGGCCCCGCGGAAAAGCAGTCAGTTTCTGATCGGTCCAGGGCCCTCTTGCATCTTCTCCCTCCAACATCCTCCTCCCCTGCTGGAAATGCCATGGCTTGTAAACATCTCCATCATTTTAAGCAAAACCTATTATCAAGCCCTGTTGTTTGCCTTTGCATTTTGATATTCTGTAATAGTCTCAACAAAAGCCAGATAGATTAAAATTATAATCCAAGTTGAATTAATTTTTTTAAATTTTTTCTCTTCCATTTTTATTAGAAAGAGAAAGAGATAAACACCCTAGCCTCCTCCCCACCCCCCCACCCACAAAGAAAACAACCCAGGAAATGTCAAAAAAAAAAAAAAAGGAAATTGGTTTAGTCACTAGTGAAACTTACAGAAGTCAGTGAACCGAGCGGTGAGGACTGCCCGCTGCCCTACAGATGGACCATAACGCAGTGCCCTGGGCTTCAAGGCAATGTGGTAAAGCACGAAGCATGTGGGCGGAGGGGTCAGCAGGTCTGGGCTGGAGTCCCCCATGTGTCACTTTCTAGCTGTAACCTCAAGTTACCTCCCCTGTAAAGCCAGGCTTGTAACACACACTCTTGTAAGGCTGTCAGAATGACGTGGAAACAGGAATAAAGTGCCCAGCACAGAACTCGGCCCAGGGGCACCCTGGGAGAACTGGTTGTCCTGCCCAGGTCTTACTGCCTGGCATATCAAGACTAACATATCAGCTTAAAGCACATGCACAGTACCAAGATTCCTAAGGTTGTCAAAAGATTCTCCCTATCCCCACGGTTATCCTCCATCCAAAACGGTTAGTAGAGAAAAAGTGATGATAGAAAGACATTCAACTCGATTTTCCTGTAAGTGACCAAACAGTAATCTGTGACTTCCATATCTTGATGTAGGATCCTTGATGAAGGGAACTGAGGCTCAACTCCAAGAGGTAGAAGGAGATTCAAGGCATTCATGCAGTTTATAAGATAAACCTTGCAGATTCTGAGCTAATATAAACCTGCCTATTTATTACCTTCTTTTCTTCCTTCTTCTAGAAAACAGATGGTGAAATTGACTTTGATTATACTGTTCAGCTCCACGAATTCTCAACACAGGTAAAACAAAATTAAATATAGAATTGTTTTTATCAGAAGGTTTTACAGATCATAATATTTCATAACTCTTCTTTCCTAGGAAATCATCCCCTGCCGTATTCACCTGGTCTGGTACCCTGGCAAACCGCTCAAGGTGAAGTACCACTGCCAGGACACACCGGGCCAAGGCTCTGAAATTGAGGAAGGATCTGGTGTGGTACTGACGGAGCTTATTAATTAATGAGGAAAAAAACCCCTGCTTATCCCAAATTCTAAACAAAATGACTGTAGCCTAAATCATTATTTTAGTAAAATAGCTAAGGTATAAGGCATTCCAATAATTCGGGGGAGATTGTGATACTCAAAAATGAAAAGATGTTGAGGTTTTTAAAAGCTAATAAATGTATTTCAATGAAAGTGAACTGTAAGAAAAATGTTATCTGTTTAAAAGGAATTTTACTATTATGATTTCAAGCGAAGTATTCTTTTATAACTCAATAGCTACTTTAAAATAAATGTTTACATCTCTAAATAAACTGTGTTAAATGTGTTTGTAGAGATTTGTCTATGTAGGAAAATTTTGTGCTAAGATGGAATTAAATGAACTCTTAGCATTGTTTAATTTGTGTTTTACAAACATAGTGTCTTGCATGCAAAGCAGAGACTCTGCTGACAACAGGTATTAAACAGAACTGGGATGTAACCGAAAGCATTGGGTTGGCCAAAACGTCTGTTTGGTTTGTTCTGTAAGATGGCTCTAGTAGTGCCTAGTTGTCTTTAACTTCATTGAAAACAATTTTGTTAGACTGGATTGTGACAGCCGTCATATCAGCATGCATTTAAAAAAAATCAAAATTGGTGAATTTTTGTGTAGCCATTTTAATATTGAAGATGGAAGAAAATAAGTGACATTTTTGGCATATTATGCTTTATTATTTCAAGAAAGGTAAAAGTGCAACTAAAACACAAAAAAAGATTTGTGCACTGCATGGAGAAGGTGCTGTGACTGATCGAATGTGTCAAAAGTGGTTTGTGAAATTTCATGCTGGAGATTTCTCGCTGGACGATGCTCCATGGTCGAGCAGACCAGCGGAAGTTGATAGGGATCAAACTGAGACAATAATCAAGAACAGTCTATGTTATACCAGGCGGGTGATTGCCAACATACTCAAAATATCCAAACCAATAATTGGTGAAAATAAAAAGTGTCTTTTATTTTATGGAAAAAACTACACGGATCTTTTGGCCAACCCATATATCAAGTATTTACAATTTTCATTTTTAAGGACAACTGGGGCCCAGTGTTGGCCTAAGTACTTGACAAAAGCAGACACAATATGCACCATAATCTGATTCAGTGTGTCACCTCCCCGGGGCAGGCAGAAGTGATCCAGGAAACGGGGCCATCATTTGTCTCTCAAAATGAGTATCATTTAATGGAATACTCACACTGGTGTGTAAAAACCTTTAGCCAGATTCCTTGGCTAGTAATTGGTTAGGAAGCATAAGCCTTAAAAAATACCAAAATATCACTTTTAAGTTTGCACTATTAGAAAACTGGAAAACTTTACACAGAAGAAAAAACATTTAAAGATGTGGATTCTTACAAAAATAAAAGATGGATGCCACCGTTGCTTTTTAGGTGTAGCTTATCTATTTTTCTATTTATAACCCCAATGTGAAGCACTGGAAACGACCATTTAAAGAAAACATCAGATCTCTCCACCTGCATCATAATGCAGAGAAAACACTTTTTCTAAAAAAACAACCTATAATGACTAAATTATGCCAAACGAAAGGACGAACTCCTCTAACTGAGATTTCCAAAAAAGTCTCCGGAGAAGGCACCAGGAACATTGTAACGGCACATCCGACCCCCTCTGCCCTCCAGGCCCTCTGCAGTGGCACACGTGAAGGGCTGGGGCGGGCCCTCGGGTTCCCAGAACCTCACCTCATCCTCCTGAAGGCGTTTTTCATTAGTGAGATCAGACTCACACGTTACCAGCACTCAATCAGCTCAGGACCCTGTATTGACCCTGTAACAGATTTACTTCAGTTTAATAGATAATGAAGGGGAATTCCACACATACAGATGACATACATATAGTTACCTAACTGATACATTTACAAAACCCACAAGAGTTAAACCTACTAAAAATTTCTCAGCATCACTGTTAGAACATCTTTCACACACAAATTCTAAAATTGCTGATTTGATTTTACTAATCCTTATTTTGCTAGCTTACAGCAGAGGAAAATTACTTCCATCTGTTTTGACATAATATGAAAAACTCTAAATTCCCTAAGCCCTCTTTTCATTAGGTCTAAATTCTCCTAAGGCAATCCGAGCCGATGACAGTTGTATCCAGCACCCCATCACTTTCCTGGCCTCTTTCCGAACTTGAAGACAAACCCAGCAGTACTGGGATTTTGTCTACATTCCATTTGATTCTACTCATAGTTTCATTTTTTTTCCTATCTGAATTATGAGTTGTTAGAAGTCCTTTTGCAAGTCAGTTGGAAGTTTCTATATTTGCCCTTGAATGACAGTCCTTCATGACATGAGTTCATTACACCCATTTTTCTCGGCTTAGATCCTGGTCTGTGACCTTTCCTGGCTTTCCAAGGGCTACAGCGCCTGACCTGCTGCCTGACACTTATTTCAGTGCTCACAATAGTCTCAAACACAATGAACTACTTCAGTGATGCATTCTAGTGTTATGTATTTGAAGACAACTTAAGCAGCAGTAAAAGCTCTAATTCAACAATTTGTAGTTTTAGCAATGCAAACAGCTGGCTTCTACAAACAGATGTATTCCTTCATGTCACAATTTATGACTTCCTGGTGGCCCTCTAATTGTATTGGCATCAGTTTTAAGATTCACTCATATTTCAAAACTATTATAATAAAACTTTAGAATGGATTACATTTCAGTGATTTTACCACTGAACAATCTGAGCATGAGCAAGAAGAAAGTAACAACAGAAAACTGATTGTATTTCTCTCAAGGTAAAGATATCAAACTAAGAACCAGTAGCCCAAACGCTACCGCCACACCAAAGAATCCATCTCAGGTCTTGAAGGTGCAAGCAATACTGCAGTGGTCTTTCATCTTACCTGTATGTTATCACCACTTGGGAAACTTCTGATCTTGACCCAGAGAGTCAGACTGCCTTGGGGTTGGCCTGGGTGTTTCTTCCCAAGGTCCTCGGGCAGTTTTCAAAGTCCAGCCAGGAGCGGGGTCAGGGCGATTCTGAGTGTGCTGCCGGCTGCTGCTCTCCAACACAGGTAGCACTGCCTTTCCTTAAATGACTCAGTCAATGGTTCGCTTCCACGGCAGCAGTAGTAAAAAGATCCTCATTTAGGTATTCTCTTTGACTTCTTTCTTGCTACAGACCTTGGCTGCTAGGTGTCCTGTACTATAACCAAACCAATGAGTTAGCAGGAAGTGTGGGTTCTGACCCTGGATCTGCCCTATGGGACCCTATTCTAGTTGCTCCTGCCAGCTGGGCCGTGCTGTCTAGGAAATGTTGGTGTTGGATTAGATGCTTTTCTGACACTGTGTCTCTATAACTAGAATGTTTAACCAGCTAAAAACATCAACACTTACCCATCTTAGTTCTGAATGGCAACAGCTAGAGAACTGTGCTGAGTTCTTGGAAAGTGGTTCCGCATCAGGAACAATATTCTAAGAGGCTTTGAATAGCAAAAGATGCCAATGAAATGCAGCAATGCTTCCCAGGCTTGACAGTATTGCAGCCACTGACATATTCACGTGGAAAACGCACTTGAGATAATGAATAGTCAATTTAAATTATCAACTGAAAACAAAGCAAGCCACATGGTCTCGGACAAGTGCTTACCTGTTCTGTGCTTTCACTCCCTCCATTTCAAAATAGATACAATAGTACCTACTTTCATAGGGGAGTGAAAACTAAATTAGATAATGCACTGAAAGTATTTAGCAAATGCCTTGAAAGCATGTGCTCAATACGTTTAAAAACTCTTTTTTCTAGAAACCTTAAGTTATAAAGCCAAATCTATAAATCAAGAAAAACAAAGGAATTTAAAAGTTATTTTATTTCTATCATGCACTAAAGGAAAGGATTTGGGTATGTCTGTCACATCAGAGTTTTGGAGGAGAAAATCCGGAACAATGTGGTGGAGCTGCCAGGAAGTCCAGCGTATTCCAAAAACAAGAGTTCGACACTTGCTCTGTCCCAGTCTCTGTGAATACAATATGAGAAGGTCCAGCAGACGCAGATTCCACTAGCATTTGGTAGGTGAATGAAACTGGCTACCAGGGACTCTGAAAATTACAGTTTATCATTTAGAGCTGCAGAAACCTTCAGGTGAACATAAACAACTGCCTGTAAGGGTGTATTTACCTCATGGTCCATCAGGAGGTAACATTTGTACTCCTAAGAGAAGGCAGCTACAAATTTGCAGAGCCCACAAACCGAAGCCATCAGCTCTATGTAAATCAGCTAGAAATTCAGCTGGCATTTGAATATCCCAATGAAGAATCTGAAAAATGCTCTCTACTTAGATCCTACGGAATCTACTTGTCAACAGAAAAAAGCCTGCCTATGAAAAGATGATACTCCAAGAAGGGTCTTGATGTGTACAATTCACTTTCAAGTGTTTAGCAAAACAATCATTTCTTAAAAATTAAAAGTATAAAAGTATGAGACATACAGACAACAGACAAGCAGATAAAACAAATATTACAAAACAAACCGTTAACAAAACTGTTCGCTGTTGACACTCGATGGAAACTACATGGCTGCTCTTCGTGCTGTTCTTCAGCTCTTCTATGTTAAAAATTCTTGTGATAAAAATTTGGAAAGGAAGGTTATACACACTCTAAGCTTAGAAGTGTACTAATATATTTCTTCCCCCTTAAAATAAATATTGCATATATTTCAGTAATAATCATATTTTATTTGAGGCTTTTAGGTGAACTATAAAAGCAGTCAACAGAGTTGAGATATACACAGAATTAACTTTGACATGATAGCAGCTTCTGAATAAAATAGAAAGGACTTCCAAAATTTCTTGTTTCTGCCTGAATTCATTCCAGTGGAAGCCATTAAAAATCTAACCCCTGCAGATTCAGTTCAAGTTAGTCCATGTAAGTGAGGAGAGTCAGTTCTTGGCTTTTCCTTTTTTCACAGGAAGCTGGCCTGTAGCTTCCAAGTACTTATTGATGAGGTCCTCTTGTGTGGACGGCAAACACGGCTGGTATCTGCAGTACTCCATCGTGTATTCTCCCTTCCCCTGGGAATTTAAAAAGAAAGAAAGAAAAAAGCAGAGATTTATAAAAATTTATAACTATCAAGTAAAATCATGCAAAACAAGATTTCACAAATGTGATCATTTTGTAGTATAACCTCCTTGAGGAAACTGAAGTAAAACTTAAGCACTGGCTTACCTCTGTGCATGACCTAAGCTCAGTGGAATAGCCAAACATATCATTTAGAGGGACCTGGAAACAAACACAGGAGACATTTTAGCACTGCTCATTGAAAAATGTCTGGGAAAAATACAGAGAAGCTTTACCCATTTAATTCCTTTAGAGTCAGGTTTCTACTAACAACTCTTGGTTTAAAAGAACTAGAAGCCAAAGAGAAACATACTTGTGTTCTACTGCAAGTAGAGATCCTATGTGAGAATAACTTCACCTGACAGTCCCAACGAGAAACCAAATGTTTCCGTTTCCCAGAGCAGACCTGGCTGATGACTGCTCTGCTCACCCCCACTCCTGTCTCCGGCCCGCTCAGCATTCAGGAGTGTTTCTTCTGTGGGAATGTTAACACAACTTTCCTTGGACACCTTAATGATTTGCTGATAGCAGTGTCTTCTAGGGAGCCTTACAGAATGTGGTAACATACTTTCTCCCATAAGATTTAAGTCAAGTAAGGTACAGGTAAGAAAATGAAATATTATCCCAATAAATTAGAGATGATATAATAAAGCTGTAATGAGAAAAATAACCAAATATCCAAGAAAATGATATATTCACAAAAGACCTACATAAAATGAATCTTATTTTTAGCTTTTGCACTTAAGAGTTGCTCTACCAGTAAATTACAGAAATTGCCACATGTCTATAAGACACAAGTTCAACACCCAAATAGCCATGGAAATGTGTCAGTTTGCTTCACAAGCTCCCAAAACAAAAGCTGACTCTGATTTCTAGCTGCGGTCAGTGAACGTGAGACTGCCCATGGCCGACAGCACTTACCTCCGCGTACAGTGTGAAATAGTCCTCGATCCCATCCTGCCCCGTGACCACCCCGTGGCGCCGGTTAATCCCTGCAATCACTGCTCCTTGAAATTCATTTGGGGCCGTAACTTCCACAGACATAATGGGTTCAAGAATGCATAATGTTGCATTTGCCAAGGCTGGATTAAAAATATATATATATATATATATTAGTTTATTAATCTCTAAACAAACTAAAACACTTTTTTATCCAGATATACAAAAGGGAGAGAGAAGGTATTCTCCTAAAGACACACACACAAATGATAAGGTTAAAATATCTAATCTGGACTCCTTTTTCTGTAGCAGTAACAGTCACTCCCCTAAATGGAAATTTCAAAAAGACAAAACTTAGTATTTCCATTACTGTCATTTTATCCTTAAGAATCACTAATCTGCAGAGGATAATATAAAAGGGGTCTTAACATCACATTCAGTCAAGTCCTTTACCATTTAAATTACGCAGTTGAGAGTTACTTATTCTTTCTCTCTGAAAATTCTTTCTTGTTGGTCCCTGGCAGACAACTATTTTTAACTGTACAAAAACAACTTCTATCACAGGCACGAGTGGGGAGGAGGGTACCCTTCACAGACTTGGAGACAGTAATCAAGTCACATCTGAGATCCATCTTTCCCTTTCTAGGCTGAACAATTTCAACATCTGCTTGAGAATTAGGAATACCAAGTTTCTAGTTTCTACTCTGCCTTTAGTAAGTGATATGCCTTTTAGAAAACACAATCTGTCCATGTCTTAAGTTTCCTCACTTAAAAATTACAGACATTGGCCCTATCCGGTGTGGCTCAGTTGGTTGGGCGTTGTCCTGCAAAGCAAAGTCACTGGTTCGATTCCCAGTCAGGGCACATGCCTGGGCTGCAAGTTTGGTGCTTGGTTGGGGCATGTAAGAAGCAAACAATCAATGTTTCTCTCACATCAATATTTCCCCCCTCCCCTTTCCCCCTCCCGTCTTCTATAAATAAATAAACAAATAATAAAATCTTTAAAAAAAGATATCAGGCCTGTGAATCAAGGGGTTGCCAGTTTAATTCCCAATGTCGGGCACATGCCTGGGTTGCGGGCCAGGTCCCCAGTAGGGGACAACCACTACTCAGTGAAAGGCAACCACAAATTGATGTTTCTCTCCCTTTCTTTCTCCTCCCCTCCCCCTTTCTCTAAAAATGAAAACAAAATCTTTTAAAAAAAAAGGTCCCACCCTGGCTGGCATAGCTCAGTGGATTGAGCGCAGGCTGTGAACCAAAGTGTCACAGGATTGATTCCCAGTCAGGGCACATGCCTGGGTTGCAGGCCATGGCCCCCAGCAACTGCACATTGATGTTTCTCTCTCTCTCTCTCTCTCCCTCCCTTCCCTCTCTAAAATAAATAAATAAAATCTTAAAAAAAAAAAGGTCCCAGTGACTTGCCTATTTCCATGTAGGAAGTATGAGGCAGCGGAGCCAGGATTTAAACTCAAAGCCTGGCAAGTAATTGGGCAGGAGATTTAAAAGGCAGTCCTGTTGAGTTAAATGAGCTTACCATGACTCCAGTTGGCTACAAGTTCAATGTTTCTGAGAGACCAAGCATAGTGCTCTTTCTAAAATTTGGTCATAGGAAATGAGGGCAAGGTCACATCCATAAGGTGAAACATGCCCTTAACATTCAACTCCACATTTCAGTTACATCACTGACGGATCTAAGGTCAGAGTTTAAATAGTCACTGAAAAGTTTCTGTTTTCATTTTTTTGAATGAAAAACTGGGGTCCTGGCCATGTGGCCCAATTGGTCAAAGCATCGTCCTATTTACCAAAAAGGTTGAGGGTTCGATGCCTGCTTGGGGCACATACTAAAGGCAACTGATCGATGTTCTTCTCTAACACCCTCTCTCTCTTCCCCTTCCCCTCTCTCTAAAATCAATAAACATATCCTCAGGTGAGGATTAAACAAGCAAAAAAGAAAAAATACACAGGAACATAAACTATTTTTCTTGCAATTTTGGTATCAGAGAATGATAAGTATAAGCTATTTTAACACTAAGCTCATTTATCAATATTTTCACCCTAAAATTCTCCAATGACATTCAATGGAGATGTGTGTTTAAGGGTGATTTTCTTACTGAGCTTGGCAAAAACTTTCTTTACCCTTCATATTTCTGTCTTTTGTTCACAGAAAAATAAGAATTAGATGAAGAAATAGCAAAATAATTCATTTTCCATGCTAGCACTCTGCTTATTTGCACTTGTTTATCTCACAAAAAAATCCCCCATATTTCTCAATTCAATTATCATCTAGTGCTTTTCCTTTGCACACCCAACAGGCAATTGATCATATTTAATAATATTTACAGACTTAATTAAAAATTAAATGGTACATATTGAACTGTTCAGTTAATACTCACTGATATACAGGCTTTTCTCATGGATGCATATGTGTATATTATAAGCAGATACATCTATATTTATTTATATTTCATATAGGAACAATGAAAAACATTGAGGCTCTTCATTATTTGATAACCATACCGATTTCCTTGCTGTATGTAACCTGTAACCTCAACCTCCAGGAAAGCTACCAATTTCCACTTGAGAACTAGCATTGAACTACTGGTGATTTCTAATTTAACTGTACTTTTAAAAAGTATCACTATGTATACATTTACCAAATCATCACATTGTAAACTTTAAATATCTTACAGTTTTGTCAATTGCATTCCAATAAAGCTGAAAAGAACATAAAGTGATTGCAACTAATGTGTCAGTTTAAGACTACAGTGGAAAGACTTAGAGGAAAGGGGGCAGGTGTTGTAACCTCAATCATGCCTAATGAAGTCTTACTTTCTTCGTGACTTTATTTCCCCCTTTTCCTATTAACATAATCTTCAGGTTGTCTCAGGATTTCTAGATCATAGATTTCAACTGCATTTTTAAATATGTTTATTGATTTTAAAGATCAAAGGGGGAGAGAGAGAGAGAGAAACATCAGTGTGAGAGAGAAACATCGATTGGCCACCTCCAGTATGCACCCCAACTGGGGACTGAACCTGCAGCCCTCTGGTGTACGGGACACGCTCCAACCAACTGAGCCACCTGGCCAGGGCTCAACTGCACTTTTAATACACAGCTGGCGTAAAGAAAATGGAGGACTCTCTTTCCCTTTCACAGCCACAAAACAAAAGCAGAAATTACTAATGTCTCCCATTAGTTTCAGTAAAATAAGGAATTAGCAAACTGGCTATGAACAACCTTTTCCAACCATTGCCCCACCTGATCACAGATGCAAACAGACCAAAAACAACAGAAAGTCCAAAATTCATACAGAATCAATAAAATCGTGATTTACAGAATGCTTAGAAAATGTGTCCATTAATCTAGTTTTCTATTGTCCATTTTGAAATGAAATGTTGAAAACATTTCTGAAATGTTTTGTGCATCATGATATAACTTTCCTGAAGATGCTCACAGACATCACTACAGATACAAATGGCCACAGGGCAGATATGGAAGAGGTGACAGAGAGAATGAGTTTTCTGGCTCCAGGACACAACTTTGAAGTTCTTCTGTCACATAGCCCTGATGTCAAACTGCTGCCCTGTCACTTGCTTCCTTTCTTAAAAGCAGTGCATCCGATATATTTGCAGTTGCTTAGGGCTCTGTTTCATAAGGGTTTTTAATGTACATATTATTCTGTGTGAGAAAGGTTGACAATTTTAGCAGTTTAGCAAGAAGTTTACACTGTGAATATGTGTTACTAAATCCTTTCAAAAATATTTTGCCATTCTCAAATTGCCTAAAAGCAATGTCCTAAATGAAAAAAAATTATTTATAAATTTATGGATTTCCTGACATGTGAACAAATCACAAAACCCAGGATGACTGTAGTTAATGTTTAAAATATTTTATAAAATTCTGGGCATTTCCATCTTTTCTACTAAAAAACTTAAGAGTTTATTTATGATTTTAAATATATAAAAATTAACACATAATTTAGAAGAACAGGGTAGGCTTTTGATTTCAGAAGAAAGAGAACAGAGTCCTCTCTCCCCACTGGATGCTGTGAACACTGGCCCAGGACCAGCCTCGTTCCCTGTGCGCAGCCCAGTGCTCTGGAAGGGAGGGCAGAACGGCACAGGGAAAATGGTCAGCTCAGGGATCGGGAGCGCGAGGACCCAGCATACCTTGTTTAAGAGCACCTTCTCCCGCGCGGATGAAAGAGATTTCATTGGAATCCACCATGTGATGCGCTCCATCTTGCAGGACAAACCGGAGCCCAGAGAGCTTGTGACCAGACAGAGGGCCCTTCTCGCAGGCATCCAGAAACCCCTGTTAATGAGTGAACACCACTTCTGGGGTGAGTGGCTTTGACTTGTACATGCATTACCCAGGATCCCCAAACATTTCAGTATTCAGAAGTTTAACATTTTTGTGCTTGCTATATTTCACTCCTCAAAAAATGTTTTACAAGTTGAACAGCCTACCATTTAATTATCGTGGCATCTAGATGAGTATTCCCCTTAGGAAAAGCATACTGGCTAAAGGCGTGAGCTGGTTTGAAAGTGATGCCGAGAGTGGTAACGATCACCTTCTCAAAACCTCACCTGCAGGAATTACATAACGTTCTCAACCCACAAGAGAGACAGTGTGACCTTAATTTTACAGGGAAATCTAAAGGCAATTTTAAAGGCAAATCTAAAGAACTCCCAAAAAGAACACCCCCAGCAGAACAGGCGTTTATTCAATGGCTGTGTCTTGAGCTCCTACTACACACCCGCCACTGCTGTCCCCACCAGCAGATCACGACAGGACAGCTGCAGCGTCAGAAAACTAAAATGAAGAGGTCGTTTTTCCAAATGCGATCGATTCTTCTTTGGAAAAATAGCTTCACTGAGGTGTAAGTGATATACAATAAACTCTTTACATCTTTAAAGAGTACAATTTGGTAAGCTTGCAGCTCTTTTTCATTCAGTCATTAACATGTACTTGTAGAGCTCGTACAATTCAATTTTTCTTGGCAAAACCGCCACATGACTGCACACGCAGCACAGTGTAGTCCTGGTATTTCGAAACTGCAGACACTGTCTCCTGCAAAACACCTGTGCCCTCACTCAGCTACACTCACCTTGGAGAACAGAAGATACTGACAAAATGTTGCCTCAAAATAAAGTATAATTAATAAAATATACCAATCGCAAAAAATGCTATCACCAATTAAGTCAAAATTATTACTTGTTATAAAGATTTGTAAGTTAAAAGTTTAAAAAAACTGAATAGAAGTTTCTCAGCCTATAAAAACAGTTATTAAAAGTCTACAGTAGTCTTAAAGCCGGTGACCTAGAAAGCAAACAATACACTAACCACTTCCATGTGCAAAGCACGTCACAACTCCCAAAGAAAAGTCAGTCTTCTGTGACCCTCGGTTTTGTGAGGCGCTCCAGTCTGAGTCCTTCACTGTCACTTCACAGACAAAGAGCTGGCTCGGAGCACTGGGAGTGACCGCAGCGCACAGAGGCCGGGAGCAGACTTGATGGCAGCGCCCAGCTGTGGGGATTCTGAATTAACGATCACCCCTCCACAGCAGTCACCTAAAACCTTCACAAACCCTCAGGACTACAACAAATTTCAATTGCTAATCACAAGCAATGGAGCAGTTTCAATTTATTAAGAGAAAAATGTAACTTTTATCAACTTACCAAGAGAAATAATCGTGATTAAGAAACAGAATGGATCTCCCCTCAGTGTCACACCATACATTTATAGCTCTTGAACTTACCGAACTGAAGATTCATAATCAGATGGAAAGCTTAACAATTATATGAAGAAGCAGCACGGTAATTAAAATGAACCATGGAAGACAATGTGATAGAAATATGATTTGATACCACCTAAAAAACTTTTTGATTTTGTAAAATGCAGTAAGTATATATTTTTTACCTTTTCTACAGCAGGCACAAATTGCTTTGGAATATTTGACCCGAATGTTTCATCTGAAAACTCCAACTTAGTGTAGTTCTCCGGGTCCAGAGGCTCCAGGACACCCATCACTTTTCCAAACTGGCCTGCACCGCCCGACTGTTTCTTATGTGTAAACTCAAACCTGAAAGTAATTTAGGAGGAAAAAAAAATCAATATAGCATTATGTAGTTAGCAAAATGAGATCAGTCCTACTGATTTAAATGAAAAACCACAGTTCATCATTTTTATGTTTTCTTTGACTATGATGGCCTTGCTATAACATTTTATTGCAGAATTTATTTTAAAAGGAATTCTCTCCTTTCTGTTCATACTAAAAGGTGAGGGTGGGTTACACCACCAAAATAATCCATGGTCTCAGTCCTGCCAATTCTGAATTTATTCCCCAAGTAGAAAAGTAGAAGTAATTATTAATTAAAAAAAAAAAAAAAGACAGTCTAAGATTCTCGTTCCAGTAGCCTACATTCCAAAGAGCTTACCCATTTCTTTTGGAGTGCCTCCCTTTCCCGGGAGAGTGCTCGCTCCTTAAATCTCTACAACCAAGGGCAGTTATTTGAAAATGGGAGATCTGCAATCAATTTATTCAGATGGTTGCTATGTGATTTTACAACTTGGACATTATGGACTGATGCAATACAAAAAAAGGGAGTTTCAGGAAGAGACCTGAGTAGCATCTCCTACCAAAACTGATATCTACTTCTTCCAAACCACCCTGGATATGGATGTGGGAACACACACTCGTCCATGTCCACTTATCTGCAGTCACTCACAGACAACTTTGAAAGGAGCTGGTCTCTTCCACGTTATGGTCTCAAGGAAGTTTCATTTTAAAGGAAGAAATGTCTTGCAAACAGCAGATATTCATGAAATGTTCTTTCAATGAAATAGTAGCCTATGTTTACATATGCTTAATATGTATGTAAAATGCTTCATCTGTTCTGTTTATGTTGCCATTAGTGATCTGAAGTAAACACCGAACTGTGTCTGTATATGTGTCTATTTGAATGACATATTCAGTCACTATCATTTTGCCATTTAGGCTGTTTCATAAAGAGCCTAAGTGTGAATGTGCCTGCTGAAATCCTTTAAGTAATCCTCCAGTAGTCAAGAGCTTCAGGATGGGCTGGGAAGAACAAAATGCTGAAAGGTTCATTTTCCTGGGAGGGATGAACCAGTCAGCAGAACAAAGAGAAGGAAAGCAGAAGAGAAACAAGTGCCAAGTCACCACAGAATTAGTGAAGGGATTCCAAAACTGGTTCATCGACATACTGTCAGGTATGCCTGAGCTTCTGAGACATTTTCAGTTGTCTTCAATTTGACAGAAATATAACATCCATGCACCATAGTCTAGATCTGTGCTGTCTATGTGGTCATTAGTAAGCACTGATATTTACTTCAATTTAAATTAACTGAAGTTAAATAAAATTTACAGTGCAGTTCCTCAGATGCACTGGTCCCACTTCAAGCGGCCAGCAGCCAGACGTGGAGGACAGCTGCTGTACAGGCCGGCACAGACAGAGCGCATCCGCCACCACTGCAGGTTCTGCCGGACAGACCAGGCGGTCACCCACGAAGGTCCAGGGACCAGGTACGAGTTTATAACCAAGTGGATGCTGAATAACAACACTTCTGTGCAAGATTTTTGTACCCAGCACTTTTTACAGATTGTCATACTGGTACTGCACCACAAACTGATGAGGTAGGGACTTTTTTACCACCACTGCACAGAAGAGAAGCCTGAGGGTTACAGAAGGTAACTTGTCACACATGGTAACAGTGGTCATGTGGCTCAGCCAGGATTTGCACTGAAACCAGTGCTCATAATCAAACGTTTTTCTAGAAAGCTAGTAAGAATAGAAACTGACTTACTCTGCGAATGAAGCATTCACTTCCAAAGCTGCTACAGGGCGCTGCACAAACAGATTGTACAACAGTTCGAACAGAGAAGTGGTGAAGGGTGCAGGCATGCCGAAACCAAGAGAACCCATGCCCCTGTGGCGAGATCACTGAAATGCTGTGAAGGGCCATCTCGTTTTGGCAAAACGTCACTGCTCACATTAAAATTAATGTTAATTAGACCTGTGTTGGTTTTACTCTCTCTATGCTGTGGATTCACTTTGACTTTACAGCCATACCAAAGTTGCAAGCCATACGTGTTTTTTCCTAGTTCTATGTTTATAGTTATATAAAATTATAATTTATCTGATCTCAGAGGCCAATAATAATTTTGTTACTTTCAAGATAACCCATACATCATTTGAGGATAATGATCTCTTGACTAACCATTCATGAAGTTTTAGTAAGATTTTAAGGTCTCAAATATATGAATGAGATTCTCTTAATGCAGTTTATTTGAATTGGCAGTTAAACTTTTTAATGTATTTATATTTTCAAAAGAACCTAAATTGGTATGTGTACTTTTAATAAATGCTGTTAATTCCTAACCTATACTTACTAGCTTTGAACTACAGAGATAGCAATTGTATTCCTAAAGCTCCCAGAGGGTGACCTTCTCTAGGAAGCACACGTGTGCTTCTAACCACTCCTGTAAGGACACCAGCTATTTGTGAAACTACAATTCATTATCAGCACAAAGCTTGTTCGAAAGACTCACACCCCTTCTCCTCAAAAGAAAAACGTTCAATTTTTTTTAGAAAAACCCTTGAGGAGAAACTAACCCCTTCACTCTCTAGTTACTTCACAGTTGTTGGCTAATATAACTAGAAATCATGAAAAATGCCTTAGTTCTTACTAGTATACATTTTTAAGCTTTTTAAAGTACCACTACGACATATGTCTAGGAAAAAAAAATCTTCAAAAACCCATTCTGAGGAAAAGGGGAAAGAATCTTTATTTCCAAGCCAACAAGTTAAAGTGAAGTTCTGACAATACATCTGATGAAAAGAAACCTTAGCTTCTAGACCTGGAGAAAATCTGAAGGGCCTAAACCAGAGCTCCTTCAAAGGTGACCCAAGAAGGTGATTAAGAAACCTAGGCGGAAAATGCACTGCCCGATAAGAGTTTGGGCTTGCTTAAATAAATCAAGTGGCTTTAAAAATCCCTGCTTTTCTAATTCAATGTAGTGGCTCCGTATAAGTTCAGTCTGTAAGTGTGTTTAATCCTTACAGTAAAATTTTCAAAGCGACTGAGCAAGTTGGAAGCACACTGTGTGTCAAAATCTCATCCTTCTAAGCGAAGGGAGACGTGCAAGCGCATTTTCAAGTTTCTCCTGAATCGAATCACAAAATCCTCCAAATTGATGCTATAGTTTGCAGTCTCTCACACCCTGATTTGGGCAGAACTGGCCCAACCCCACAAAAAAGTGGGGGACAGCAATCCTGTTCCTGGACTCTCACAGTGGGAGGGGTTAAGAAGGAACAGGAATCTGGTCACTGACGGGATCTCCTCTGCACTTTGTCCAGGGTGATACTGTGGGTGGTGTACGAGGAAGCTGTGCTTCACTCCGCAACGGAAGCGACCAGACTGCTTTCCAAGGAGAGGAAACTGGAGGCTCCAGAGGAGAGGCTCCAGAAAGGCAAAGGCCAAAAAGCCCCTCCCACACTTACTTCTGTAAGGGCTACGAAACGGAAGGGTGAAGTGCTAGCCAACCCAGCCTGATCCAGGTGCTCTCCGGCCTGGCGGGAACCTGAGAGTAAAAGTGCACGGAGCAAGGTGGGGCGACGGCGTCAGCCAGCGCCCAGGGGCAGCTTCCTGAAAGGGAAAGAGGGAGGGAAGGGAGGAGAGGCGGGGAAGGAGTCGCGGACCCGCCCACGCCCCACCCAGCACTGCCACCCCGCGGCTGGCGGCAGACAGCGGACGGGCGGGACACGCACTCGTGGCGTCCGGTTAGGCTGGAGCAGACTCGAGCTGCCCCTCACCAAGAATGGAAATCCCACCGACCCACTACCCCGCCTCCAGGGCGGCCTCGGTGGTGGAGAACTGCATTAACTACCAGCAGGGGACCCCCCACAAGGTGTTTCTGGTGCAGACAGTCCAACAAGCCAGCATGGAGGTGAGTCCAGCAGCGGGGCACCGGCTCTCCGCGCCCGAGGGTCTGCAGCAGCCGCCCGTCCCGCGTTTTGGGATTGACTGCTGCCCTTGCCAGACTAGAGGGGCTGATGTTTCCGGGGAAGAGGCGACAATGCAGTCTCCAGGGACAGTCCGGGTCTGTTTGTGGTCTAGGGACGGCACAGACAGGACAGTTTTTTATGGGCGCTAGTACAAGGAAAGGGGAAAATGTTTACGACGGGAGGCAGCATTTTCCCCTTTCTCCGAGTGAAACCTGTAGGAACCATTCACACGAATCTTAACACTGCTATGACATTTCTCATCTACTACTCCACAATCTGGATCAAGGAGAGCTCCTGTCTTGCAAATGATTCTTCATTTTAAGATCAGTCCTCGTCAGACCCTTTGACCAAAATGAAAGGGCGACAAAGAGCAGGAGAAACTGACAGCCTGTACCAGTGCGCTCTGAAGCCCCAAACACTGCGGCAACCGACTGCCATAAATTACGTGGTTTGGGGTTTAAGTTAAATGCTTAAGACCTCAGCAATCACTAAGCCTGTTTCCATTTTACTAAAATCTAATGGGTTTGTGATTGTTCATTACTTATCTGACATTAGTTTAACTGTTAACAGTCTTTAAGAGCTGACAGGGAATAGAGGTTAACTGAACCAAATCATGTAATTAGGTATAAATGCTCAATTGTACCTTGATTCAAAAGTGAAATACCTAAATGTTTCTCTTACTGTTATAAAATCTGTTAAAGTATCAATTTTCAGGTCTACTAATATACAAGTAAAAACAGTACTTACTATATCTAGTCACTTTGCAGTAATCTGTCTCAGAATGGAATTCACCTTCAATGAACACTATTTGGAGGGTACACAGGGCTCTATGAAAAATTTTTTCAGTGATGTAGCCCATTTGTCATCTTCAGAATTAAAAGCTGTTTCAAAATTTCTTATATAGAGAATCAGGATCACATACCCAGAGGCTGAAGTCCTTTCACTGAAAGTGAATTGGAACCGCGTTGCTTACATGTGCTTTTATCCCAACCTGTGCTCTCATCCAAAATAAGCCCGAAGGATATCCTGTGACGCTGGATGTCACATACATGGTGATATGCTTTTAAGGTCTGAGGCTTTATTTACCCCCACCAGTCAGCCACCCCCTCCCCCAATGAAATGGGAATGGGTTCTTCTAACAATGCAGAGAACTGAGTTATTGTCATAGTAACTCATCACATTTCCTTAATTTTAGGATATTCCAGGACAAGGACATAAGTATCGCCTTAAGTTTTCTGTGGAAGAAATTATCCAAAAAGTAAGTGAAATGTCCTTTATTATTAAATAAAATTTGACTCTAAATATTCCAGATTACCTTTGCTGAAAAAATCACAGGATTAATTTGTATTTTTATAAGTTGCTGTAAAACCCTGCCTTGAAAAAATAATGACCATTCAAGAGCCAGCTTTTACTCCTTTTGGGTATTCTGAGATACATGACATATTTCTGTTGATCTAGGAAAAAGACAGACTCTACAGACTTCACTTCAAATGTTATACTCATAGGGCAGTCTGAACTCTATTACCACGTGAAATAAATTACTCTCCAATCATCATCACTTTGTCTGCCTTTTTCTCATTCTGCCTTTGATTTCTTTTATTTAAAGAAATTAAGTGTTTTTAAAAACGTATGAGCCATAGAGTGGCCAACTGATATCACCATGTTCAGATAGGAATGGTTCAGTAATAGGGGAGGGAAATTTTCATATACTTGTCATGTTAGTAATGGGGCAAACTCAAAAGGAAGGAACTGCAATATATACTGTAACCATCTTGAAATTTAAAAAGCTTGCCCTTTTGTTAAGCATAGTTTGGAAGAGATACAGGCTAATGTAAGGAGATGCATTAAAAGGCATCTGAGCCGCTAGACAATCATCTTTATGAAGCAGAACCAATGTTACAATCTTTAATTTTACATCTAGATACAGATAGTTGTGTCTTAGTTTGAAAAAATGTGTTGTTTCTGGAGCAGAGTAAGAGTAACAGAAAGAATTAAAAAGTAACCAGAGTCTGGAGTTGGTATATAAAGTGAAACTAAAATCTGGCCTTGAAAATGGACACCCCATTAATACTGAAATATATTCCAAGTTTTAACATGAATTTAAAAGATGAGACCAAACAAGTTATAAAGCAGCTGTCTATTTTAGAAACATCTAAGAAAATGACCAGGCCACCCCCAACCAGATTACCTCTGGAGTAGGCACACTGAAGGCGAGTCTGAAAGAACACCATTAGGGGCCAATACTTTAAATACTGTATCTCAAAGGGCAATAGTTAGTAATGGATGGCTGCCTACATGTAAAGATATTTTGCAAAATGTCTCAAACAGCAAGTGACAGTGAACTGCACAGCTGAAGTCCTTTACCCGCCAGTGGGACAAGATACTGCACCTGAAGTCAACTTCACGTTTGAAGGGGAAATTGGAAAGAACCCAGATGAAGAAGATAACACATTTTATCAAAAACTCAAATCCATGAAGGAACCACTGGAAGCACAAAACATTCCAGGTATATAAATGTGACATGGGAAAACATACAATTTAGATTTTGTAAAAGGTTAATTCTGTATATGTAAAGTAATTACATTTATCATGTTTCCCTCACCAGACAGTTTTGGAAACGTATCTCCAGAAATGAAGCCAGTTCGACATTTGGCCTGGGTTGCCTGTGGTTATATAGTATGGCAGAATTCTACTGAAAACACATGGTATAAAATGGTAAAAATTCAAACTGTCAAGCAAGTGGTAAGTAATGCCTATAAAATATGCTATTAATAGGGTTAATATTTATTGGAAGTATTTTGAATCATTATTATATAAATAGTGCCCCATTAGTAATTTTGTATTTAAAATAGTGTTCCCAGGATTTTGAAAGAGAAGCTGATTCCAATCAAGGCCAGAGAAAATGAAGCTGCAGTTTCAAGAGAAGCAAAGTCTTAAGTTATAATTTGGCAGTCAGTTTTTGTGCTCAGCTTAATACAGATTATTTCCTTTGGCAGCCTAAGTTTAGTGTTCACATTACTATAGTCATGCAATATTGAAACTACCTCTGCTTTTTTCCTCTCCTGAAATCATAGTGCCAGAGTTACTCAGAAACATGGCTGCCAATTCCCCCACAGTGGTCAGCCAGGACAAAAATATTAGCATCTCAGGCTTTATGAAACTTTCTGTATATGATTTTCTTTCATAACCCACTGAGTTGTAATTTATAACCTCATACTTTACCTCTTGCTTTCCTTAAGTCTGATATGACTAATACGAACTGCTTCTTTTTAGACCTTAAAGAAAGTGTGTCAACTAGTAGTATCTAATGAAAAAGAAGGAAGACAGTGTGCAAAGAGGCCACAACAGTTTTAGTCAGCTCCATAAAAGACAGACTTTCCGGTGACTTGTTGCAGCTTGTGGGTGACTGTAAGGCAGCACCTGGAACACCTTTACTCCAAAGGCTTTGGCAACAAGTTACTAGATACCTACGGGCACTGGAAGGCAGGGTGCCCAGTTACAATACTCAGAGTGTGGTGTCAAATACCTAGTGCAAACATTACAACAACATTTTAAGAAATAGTCCCTTTTTCTAATGCATTTTTGTAGACATTGATCCTGATTACACCACTCCTATATGGGTACTACGGCCTCCAATAACTGAGAAGCTGACTGGTCCAGGTTGCAGAAGCTATATAACCATACTCATGATTTTTCAAACCATGTTTTAATAGTAAGATATGCAAAAAGATAGGGCTAGGAGTTTTAGAAAAGAAAACTTCTCTAACCCTTCACCAAACAGTAATTTTAAAGCACTAATAAAAGTCTCAGCAGAAGGGTTTAACCACTGCTTCCGGCTATATACAGGGTCCAGCACAAATAATGTCCTTTTGTTACAAAATCATAAGCATGTAATTCTGTAACATGACAATATCACACTCAAGCACACCATATGACATTTTAGATGAAACATTCAAATTAAAACTGTAAATTATTACACCCATATTATTTATTACCTCACCAACCACAAGTAGGCATTACTTCTTTCAGACCCTGTATTATTACCTATCTTTACTGAGTAAGATCCAACATGTAAGAAAGCTTACTACTGATTTTTACCTTATCATTTTTCACTGATATAGTCAAAGAAAGGATTACTTCACGATACCATAAGGAGAGACTAGTATATTTTCATTTGACCCTGGGGTCACACTTATAATCACCATCAACCAAAGGAGCCACAGGAGCCTGTGCTGCCCCGTGAGGTCTAGGGCTTATTTCAGTATGTTGATTCCAAGCCTTGAAGGGCCCTGTGTCTGCTGATCATGGTTTTAAACCATGTGGATGCAGTGGTTCTGTGTAGCTAACCGTATAAATACTTCACATGCACAAAGCAATAGGCAGCACAGATCGAAGCTTTAATTACCAAATCAGGTAACTACATTCACTAAATTTTACTATTTTCGGTTTTTTAAAGAGAATGTCTATCATAAAATTGGTTTCCTTTAATGTAAACACTCATTTCAGTACCTTATCCCTTAAGTTATGCTTTTCTGAACACTGCGAACCTTACGGAACTTTAAACAGCCAACTGCAGACTGTACTGCTCTTAAGCAGCTAGCACAACTCAAAAACTAAAAACAGAAAGGGAAATGATTTGTAGAGTAACAAATGAAAAATCACAACTTTAAGTTGTAGTTTGAAAAAAAACTTATAAGACAAAGTTTTTCTGTCAAGCTAAATCGATTATGACATTCAATTTTTATTTTTACTTAAGTGGAAGTATTATAATCATTTAATGAAAGCTGATTTTTAAAATTAAAGTACTGTTTTTGCCAATGATATTGTTTTACATACCAGATTTTTATTTATTACAGCAAAGAAATGATGACTTCATTGAGTTAGACTACACCATTCTACTTCATGACATTGCATCTCAGGTAAAGGATCATTTAACCTTCACGTGATGCCACTTTGAAAATCGATACTTGTTTCATAGCTACTATGCCTTATTAATTCTGACTCTAAATCAGAATTCATGTAACTTCAAATAGGCACCAGGTATATTATACTTGTAGCAAATGAATTTGTGTTGTGCTATTCTTTATGAGGACTATTTTGTTTCTAACAAAATATAAATCCAACTCTGTTTTCTTAAGCTGTTTTCTGAATTTTATCAGAGCATTACTTTCCTTTACTTGCAGGAGATTATTCCTTGGCAAATGCAAGTTCTCTGGCACCCACAATATGGCACTAAAGTAAAACATAACAGCCGTCTGCCGAAGGAAGCACAGCTGGAATGAGCGAAGACCCCGGGCTCACTGCTGATGTGCTCGTCACTCCTCACCGACATCTAGCTAAAGGGCCAAGCAAATCCCAGTGTCAGTCTGTACAAATGTCTGGATTACAGCACAGAACTGTACAGCTTCCATAATAAAGAGTTTCACGATGTAAAAGTGTCTTACTAACAATAACAGTGCTGTGCATATCCCATAATAAAGAGCTTCAATTACAGCCTCACAGGATGTTCAATTGTGTAGCATACTCACGGGACAGGGGCAGCAATGGTCTCTTTGAAAGCAACTTTTGGCTTTCCTGTGATACAAGGACAGTCATATTCTCTTTCCAGCCTCTAGAAAGAGCAGGGAAATAATTTTTTGGTATATTGAAATTTAAAAAAAATAAAAAGAAAAATCCTAAGAATCTTAATTATTGGAAGCAGTTATTTAAATATAATAAACAAATAATCAATCTTAAACCATTTAAGTGTCTTACAAGAATTAGCTACATAATATTAAACAATAAACTGCTTTTATATGTTCTGTATAAGTGCATTCTAATTTAGACTAATTTACACTTATATCCATTTGATATATCCACTAAAACGTCATCTTTGTTCCATCTTATTACATATTCACTTGAATAGTATATAGACCTGTTGTCAGAATTTTGTACTGTCTCAACTGCAAAGATATGATCACAATTAGAATTTTTAATCTTAAGTCACACATCTTGTTTTCATTTGGATGTACACAGGATGTTTCCTAGGAAAGCACATATCCTATCTACCCATTCTTTTATCTATATTACAATGATCTCCAAGTACGGACTTGAGAATAAAACAAGCAAGAAATGGCCGGAAGAGTGGGCACTGGTGGGCCGACCTTCTCAGCAGGCTTCTCCCGGCAGGTGGTCTCCCTAAGCTGGGACCAAGATACACTGAACCTAACCAACCATGACCTGAACGGATGGCCTTATTACAAATCCCCTGCACCTTGATTCTAGAAGTCCGCAATGCTTTACAAATAAAAGGATTTACAGAGCAAAAATAATTTGTAATACATAGAAGAGGAAGCAGTGTACCACAACTGGATACCAGGGTGACTGAAAAGCCACTAGTAGTCTATGGACATTATACTGAAAATTACAGAGTTTTACTCTTAACAAAACACAAACATAAATAAAATCAATTGAACTGAATCTCCCTGGTATTCATTACCTGAGCATAGATTTCCAGGTGTAATTCTCCCATTCCAGAGACAATTGTCTCTTTGCTCTCGGTGTCAAAGTGGACTTTAAATGTGGGATCTTCTCTTGTAAACCTGCCAATACCTTTTGAAAATTTTTCCAGATCATTCTTTAAAAAAAAAGAAAGTCATGACAGATTTTACTAATCATGATAAGCAGTGGGACTGCTGAAAGAACTTCACTGCATAAAATTAAATACATACGCAGTTAAGAAATGAAAATGATCTACTATCTAATTCCTAGAAAATACCCTTTAAATATGTGAGCCTGGATACCACCCAGCCAATGGAGCTGGAAACGGCTAGCTGACGGAATTTTCTTTCCATACCAAGATACGACAGCCCAAGACTTAACTCTGTGCCCTCTCCTATTACACTGACAAAATCTGTCCAATTGTGGAAATCTGCCCATGAAGCGGAAAGTAAAATCTGTGTTACTGTGTTAGATTTCAGAAATCATATATATAATCAAAGGATTAAGCATGTTTACCAAGACTCAACTGCAGATTCAGAGAACAGTTAAGACCAACAGTAAGGCAAGTGCTGCACCAAGACTTTCAAAACAGTCTGTTTGGAGGTGACTTCATGCTTCTTTATCCTCCTTGGATGTAATTTCCTTATGTGGGAAGCAGAGGAACAGCCGTCTAAGGGTGTGCACTCATCAACCCCCAAACCTGTGAATGCTGCTTTACATGGTAAAGGGCAATCTGCAGTGTGATTCAGGGAACAGACAGAAATAACTGTTGGGCCCAACGTAACCACATGGGCTTTTAAAAAACGGAAGAGGAATGCAGAAGGGTAAGTCGGAGAGATGTGAAGAGGGAAGAGGCAAGAAATATGTAGGGTTGTCCAATCTTCTGGTGTCTCTGGGCCACATTGGAAGAGGAGTAGTCTTAGGCCACATATTAAATACACGAGCAGTAATAAAAACTGATAAGCAAAAAACAGGTTTTAAGTAAATGTACAATTTTGTGTTGGGCCACATTCTTAGCCATCCTGGGCCACATGTGGCCTGTGGGTTGGACACCCCTGAAAGCACTAGAGGGCTCATTTCGCTGCTGCAGGCATTGGAGGCGGGAGGAAGGGGGTCAGTCTCTAGACGCTAGGTACAGCCCTCAGGTGACAGCAAGGAATGGGGACCCCAGTTCTGCAACCACAAGGAGCTGAATTCTTCCAACAATCTGTGTAGCAAGGAAATAAACTGTCCCCTGGAGCCTCCAGAAAGGAACACAGTCCCGCCAAGACCTTGATTCTAGTCCATTAAGAACTGTGTCAGATATCTCACCTACACAACTAAAAAATGACACATCTATGATGTTTTAAGACACTAAGTTTGTGGCAATTTCTTATGGCAGCAACAGAAAACTAATACACCCTGAATCACCAGTATTAACAGTTATTACATGTGCCTGGAACTGTGTGTTCTATGTTCTGTAGATGTTATCTCAAATTCTTACTGCAATGCTGCAAAATAGAATTATCCACATTTTACAAGTGAGGACGCTGGGCAGAGAAGTGACGTGACTTGCTCAAGACTGCACAGATGGTGCATGGCCATGCTGAGAATGATCCGGGGTTAGTCTGTCTCCACAATCTTTTCCCTTTTCCCTGTACTTGCCAGGTACTCTCAGCTTACTAGATCATCCCTGCCTCCGCTCCTGAAATGCACAGCTTTATGCAGTGATTTCATTATTTAATTTAATTCACTCCAGCAAGCAAAGAATCCTGAGACACCAAAACACCCTTTGGATATTGATGCATTTGATTTCCCTCCATTACTTTGAACGATCAGGACAAAAGTCTTACATAAACTCTGAAGTTAGGAATGAAGAGCTTTATATCTATCTTTAATCTAGTCCTGCATATTCTGAAGGGAAAAGCAAACAATTAAGCAAAGTCCTCGAAATAAACTGTGACATCTTACTGTAGTAAGATGTAAGATTTGCTTTTCTTCAAATTTCTGAGATGGGAGTATTTTAACATTTCTTGCCACCTCAACATTCTTTTTTCTATAATGAGATGGGTCTGTAAAAATCTCAAGTTCCTCAAAATAGATGAAGTAGTAGCTGTTCATACATCCACAACACCAACCAGAATACATTCTGTAAATGACAGTTCCCAGATGACAAGAGGTCGTAACTATTCGCTCAGTGCATGAATGATTCATTTCAATACCATATTAATGTGATTGGTACGAACATCAAAGAAATTTAAGTACTAAACAATTATGATTCAATTCCAATGGCAAGCTAAAGTGAATGCAAACTTAAGTAATCTTGGCTTTGTAAAAAGCTAAATGATATCCAATCATAAATTTGTTATATTTGAAAGTGAGAAAAACAGTCTTGTTTACAGACTTTCCATGTTACGACTGTACATTTACTTTATAACTACAACAAATCTGGAGATGTATTATGATCCATGAGGCAATTAAGCTATGCAATATTCTAATGTACTTTACAGTGAGGTTTTCCTACAACTTATGACAAATGCCCGTTTCCCCTTGTCCATCCTCTTATGATCTGAACCTAGGAAGTTACATTTACCAGTCTGGAGAAAGTTACAGCTTTACTTAGTAAAGTTATGAAGCAGTCTCGTAAATACCATCAACTTCTTTAAATACACTGAGGAGTAATTACTGCTAACTGACTGGTAAATTTTAAAAAGTGATCTCAACACCAAAAGAGGAAATAGAAACAATAAGATTGCTGGTTATCACAAGATACCATGTGTACTGTGCAGACAGATGATAAAGAGCTTAGCCCTGGCTAAGGAGGCTCAGTGGATTGAGCACCAGCCTGTGAATCAAAGGGCCATGGGTTCGATTCCCACTCTAGGGTACATGCCTGGGTTGTGGGCCAGGTCCCCGGTAGGGGTCGCATGAGAGGCAACCACACACTGATGTTTCTCTCCCTCTCTTTCTCCCTCCCTTTCCCTGTGTTAATAAACAAATAAATAAAAGATTTTATTTAAAAAAGTTCAAGTCTTTATTGTGATAGTGAGTATTAAAGTAAATTCCTACCTTGTTAGATGGCTTCATTGCTACTGAAATGACAGGGTCAGGAACATGAATTGACTCCTAAAATATTTTTTAAAAAACAGAGAAGAATTCTAATATAGTACTGAATGAATCAGAGTCGGGGATGGATTAATTTTAATGGTCTGTTTTACAACAGAACAAAGCACTAAACATCTTTAAGCCAGACAACATATATCCTGGAGTTAAAATGCATTAACTATATGCATTAAATAAATAAAAATATTAATATACTCATAAATAAAGGCATCCATTTATATGATCTCCTCCCTCCCAAAACAACAATAAAGTATCTATTTATTTACTTAACTGTTTATGACCCTTAAGTCTATCGATACTTTCAATTTAACACAATCATTATAATGAATCCAATCCAAATGCTGAGATGTAGAATTCTTATTGACTGGTGGCTACATTTACTGTTGCTATCTTCTGACAGGTTACTTATTTAATCAAATTAAGGTCACTGATACGAGAAACAGAGAAAGGGCACTAGATTCTTTATACATGATACTTCATTTAATCAACCACGACTCTGAGAGGCAGATATTATTAACCCCATTTTACAAATAAAATCTGAAGGGCAAGGAAAGAAGAGAAAATACTGTGGCCAAAGGCTGGTGGGAAACACAGGGCAGACTCTCACCCAGGTCTACTTGCTCAAGCCTGAGCACTTCCCACACCCCCGGTCGCTTCCTATTGCTAATGACAAGCACGTGGAGAAAGCCTTATTAATCATGCTCACATGGCAGTCCTCTTATCCAGAGCCCCCAAAAGCCTGCACAGATTTATTTAATTTTTGTACTGTCTTACATCAACATTAAAACCAGATATGAGACGATATTTTACACGAAACACTGTACTATAAAATTATGAGTCTGTCATACAATCTGGGACTACTACAGTGCTCATCTGTCAGGGTTGGACCAGTTCTTACATCATGATCCACTGTCAATTTGTTTCCCACTAATTACCTATCCTGTATGTAGTCATATTCTTTCTTTACTAAATTCAGTAAAGAGTCTTACTGTACATGGAACAGTCTGTCCTCTTAAAGGGATGAAACTGGGGAGTGAAGGGAATTCAAGGGCAGGAACTGCCGAAGCAGGTGTGGAGGAGAGACTGCCCCACGGCACGACCGCTGTGTGGACCGCAAGCTGACCTGGGCCAGGACAGAGGCGGCTTACTGCCAAACCCTCTTAGAGACTCGGACTCTAACTGACGTTCACTCCGACATAAAGAAAGCACCCCTCTCATGCCTCCTGCTATGAGCTGGATCCTGGAACAGGCTGATGTCCTGACCTGGTCACACACGTTATGTAATTTCCATATCAGGTAGCATTCCTATACTAGTCCCTGTGACTGCTCCCCTCTTTTTACCCCATAGAATAATTGTCTGGCACCTGTTGGAAGGGTAGAGACTGCCCAAGATGTGCCTCCTCTGTAAGCTTCCCTTGAAAAACACTGTTAGATGCCAGACTGGAGTGGCCTGCCTCTTTTCCTGTCTTTCCCTGCCCTCCATGTACAGAGGTATCTACCTGTTCAGCCTCAGGGCTTTGCCCAGGGTCTACCTGTACTAACAGCATGTGCTTCCCTTCAGGGTGCCTCAGAGATAAAAAGGGACCTATGTGTGCCACAGAGCAGGCTGTCTGACTGTCTAGTTACATCCTGGTTCCCTTCCGTTATGTGACAGCCAAGTCTAGTCTAAATGTTAGTCTGCCCTTACAGTTCCTGAGGGAAGGGTCTACTCTGGTTGCTGAGTTACTAAGGGAGGAGCACTCCATGGGGACCAGCCTGAGGACCGTGACAGCAACTGGAGACCGACCCACAATGGGGAGGCAGAGCTCAGGAATCGGAGCGACACGGACCAGGTGTGTTTTCTCCCTACACTAAAAACCCTGAAGGATCATGAAATGACTTTACTAAGAAAAGCCAGATAAATTAGCTTACACAGCACACTTGTCCAACTCGTATTTAAAGAACCACAACCAATCTATACTTGAGTCTATACATTGCACTGTGCAATGAAAACATTTGTGGTTGTTTTTCTGAAGTACTAAATGTACTGCATACAAATGTAGACTTTTGAAACTCAAGTGGTAAACAGTTTTGAAATTAAATGACTTACCATAGAAAGTCCACTATTATCTTTGTTTGTAAATGTGTCTCCACTAGCACAGTCAATGCCAAACAATGCACAGATGTCTCCAGCAAATGCTTCCTCAACATCCTAAATAAAGAAATAACAAGTAATACAAATCAGAACAGGGCAGCTGGACAGTACTTGCACACTAAACCCACTGAGCATAAACAAACACGGCAGAATCTCCCCACGAATTTTATAAAGAATTAGCTAGAACAAACGCACCGCCACCCATGGCGAGACATACCTTAAGCTGGGCGCTTAAGGTATTTAAACCACATTTCAACAGACAAGATTTTACTCTAATGGGAACTCAGAGCCCCAGCAGCATTACTGGGAGTGTCCGCAGTGCTGACGGAAGGCAGACACTCACAGTTCTCCAGTGCCTCCCGTGGATTAAAAGCGTGGACTAGGTGTGTTGCCACAGTCCAACAACAAGATGCATATGACAAAGGTGTACAAGAAAAGCCTACAAAGGAAGTTCTGAAAACAAAGGCAGGAGAGTAGAGTCCTTTTACTTAAAATAATCTAATTTCTCACAGATAGATGCAGTTGAGAAAACAGGAAGTCTAAGAACAAAGCACTGGTGCCTCTAAACTTCCTTGTTTTTGTCCTTTTAAATATAGTTCATTCATACCAGCTGTGGCTGTGAATGACCAAGTGTGTGTGTCTTACTTTAATGGTAACACAGCCGTAAAATTCTCCTGGTTTCTGGCCCACAAAACAGCTGTGACAATCATTAATCCCTCTAGCCTGCCCCCTGCTGCCTATATCTCAAAACAGCAATTCTGTCCAATTTTGAAAGACTGCCTATGCATCTTCCAGGAGATATAAAAGTTACAAGCACCAAAAATTGCTGAACATCTGAAGATTTTGCGTAGACTAGTAAATCTCTCCAGGAATACAGAACTGAACTGGGAAAAGGTGAGAGAAGGAGACAACCTCACACACTTGGTATTCCTACCAAGGCCTAACCCTATGTATGGATCACAGATGGCTAGGACAGATTCAGAACCAATTCATGAATTCAAGCCAAAATGTATCTCCCGGACCAGACTTTAGAGGTCTGAAACCTGCAGATGGATTCTAACACCATTAGGGCCATTCTCGGGGTGGGCTATACGAATATAAAGCTCTAGCATTACACAGAGCTTCCAGACTGGCCATATTTCAGAATTTTTTACTGAACAAAATGGGAAAATGTGTGAATCTGCTATTCTCACCTTTCAGAACCACAGTTCCACTGTCCTAAAAACCTACTGTATTCTTTGTAATGACAGCTCTTGAGGATAGTGCTGAGTTTGTGTTCTGAGTTTTGGGGAACTAATTGTCCCCTCTCCTTCACCTTGGTCACTGAGGAAATCCAGCTAACTCACAAACAATGGTATAAACTGTGTGTTCTTAACATCTGCTAATGTAGCCCAGACTAAAGTGCTACATCAGAATTGTGCCACACCTAAGTAGAAAGGAAGAAGTTAGGAAAACACATTCAATGGCAAGTGATTTTCTTGTGGGCTTGGGATACCAAGAAAGTAGACCTATTCCGACTGCAGTGGAGGAATCTCTGACTGCACGGTGACCAGGCACTTGCCTCCATCATGTCAGCGTGCATGCGCACCAGGCGCTGCACCCGCACTTTCTTTCTTGTTCTCGCGTTGTAGATGGTGTCACCCTTCTTCAGCTGTCCTTGATAATTGCGAACGTAAGTTAACTGTCCAAAGCGACCTGCCTAGAAGTCGAGATTGGGTAAGGGCAGAAAGAAAAAGAACACATAAGAATCAAAATCAGGAGGAAAACTTCACAACTATCTCCAAATCTTCCTTCACCAATTTTAGTAGTTTTGAATATCGGTAATTAAATGGTTGTGGTATTCTTTTTGGTATCATAATCCAAGATAATACTTCTGCTCTCTCTGAAATAAAAGTTATTAAAAAAAACTTTAAATCATTTAAGGAATTATACTTTTGTCTTCTGTATTATTTTATAATTTCAGTTTAAATAATAGGACATAAAAATAAGGTATAATTATTGGAAAGACAACAAAAATATCATTAGAAATAATAAGACATCTAAAAAAAATTGATAGTCACCCAGAAATCTTACAAGTGAGAGTTTTGTAAAGTGACTGAATATAAAATGAATAATTAAGGATCAATTTCTCTTGAATAATAATAACAATAAGACACATATTTAAAACTTGACAGTTCTTCCCATATTAACTTACAGGTTTACCAAAATTGCAATCAAAATCCCAAGAAGAATTTTTAAACATTTATTTAATGATCTTAAAAGTCATGTAGAGGAATAGGTAAGAAATAAAAACTTTTGAAAATGTATGTTAATGAGAAGAAACTAAGACTAATATAAAAACATTTCAAATCCTCCAAAACTTGAAAAGTATAGAACTAGCGCAAATCAGACCAAACACTCCACAGAGTACGGTGTAAACATCTAAAACAGTTAATTCCTTTATCAACACGTGACGCGGGAGACTCGGCATCCAACGGAACAGCGCAGCAGCATCGTTCAGAGCCGTGGCTGGACAGCTGTCGGAGGGAGAGGCGGTGCACCGGGCCCTGCCTCGCCGTGCACAGCACAGCAAGTTCCAGTTGGGTTAACAGTAAAAAAAAAAAATCCCACCAAAAAAAGTAAAAAATAAAAGAAGTGTTTATTAAATATATTCAAACAAGAGAGTTTCTAAGGTTAAAACTGAAAGAATGACTAAAGATAAAGATTCACAGACTTGACTATATAAATTTTAAAGTACTGACTGTTTTTAAAAAATTAACTTTATTAGAGAAAGCTCATACAAGTAAAAATCTTTGACCCTATTTTTTTAAAAAAAGGCAATTACAAAAGAAAAAACACAACTGCATAATACAGTATATGGAAAAATATTCTCTATCATTAGTAATTAAGGCAAGGCAAAATACTAAAATAACATCTTTCATTTATGAAGTCAGCAATGATTTTAATAGTAATATCCTGCTGATAAAGATTCATCAAAATAATCTAATACATTAATTCTGAGTATGAAAGCAATTTGGCAATACAAACCATTGAATACTAATATATTCTGTACCTTTAATTCTATAATCATTATTCTGGGGATCCTAAGAAAGTATTCCCAAACATGTATTTTTAGAAGCTTCATGTATAAAAATTGTCACTGCTATGTTATTTCTATTTTATAATTTAAAATTACCATTTTTCTCATTTTACTGATGATAAAAATTACATTATAAAAATTTTAAAATTTGGAAAAAGCCCTCAAAATAGAATTCTGTCCATACCACTTCCAACGTATACACCTTTCTTTCCCCACATAAAATATGAACAGAGCAAAGATATCCCAACAAAAAAGCATACCCAGTGGCCAAATCTTGGTTTCTGATACCATTCTCTTTATTAAAAGGAACAGGACTCCCGAAGAAGAGGCCGATCCTAGGGCCAGGGCAGGGAATATCCAAGACAAGCCTGGAATACCCTGCACTGCCAGGAAGGGAAGGAAGCAGCCAGAAAAGCAGACACTGGGGCACGTCCAAGGAGCCAAGTGAAAGAGCTACCAGGGCCAAACCTGGTCAGCCTAGGCCACAAAACAAGTAACATACTACTGAACTGTAATTCAAAGTACCAAGTATTGTATTTTGCTGTGTATAATGCGCCCTTTTTTGCCCACATTTTTTAGGGGAAAACAAGGGTGCGCATTACACGTGGGTATAATGACTGCACGCCGTGGGGATAATGATGAGTACGATAACCCCGTGTGCAGTGCGCACAGAACGCAGGTGCGCATCATACGCAGCAGCACGGCACGCGTGGCAAAATGCAGTACATGCCCTTAAGTCCATACTGACATAAACAAACGACTGAATACATACATAAACGGGGAGAAAGGACAACTCTCCCATACAGAAGAATCCCGAATAACTTAAGTAGATGTTGCTCCCTCAAGGAGGTGGGGAGTAATCTCCACTCCGTAAGTGTGGTCTGTGCACAGTCCCCTCCTTCTACAGAGTCAGTATGGAAAGGGAGAGAAAGAGTGGCAGTGGAGAAACCTATAACCAAATAGGTCATAAGAGTTCTTTTATAATAGGAATAAAAGCCTAAAGGAAAATTTCTACATATAACAGTTAAATACATTAGAAAGCAACGTACCTCCAATTTAAAAGCCAGGCCTACAAATGGGTGGGAATTGTCTCTCTTGGAGTTCATTAAGATTTTGGTTTTCTCCTTTGAGTCACTTAAAGTAAAACAAATACAACTCTGTGAGATACAATATTTGATATTTCTTTTATATCAATTTGTTTCATCAAAGAGTATTATCTGAGAAAAAGTGCATGTGCCAAACACTCTGACTTCACACATTAGTGAAGTTTCCCTGAAAAAAATCTGTAAGAATAACTTCTTGGGCCTTAGTCATTACATTGGGACAGGCCCAGAGGAAACTAAAAAAACCATAAAAATGGTCTGATAGAGAAAGAAAAGCAAAATACAAGGTCTGTCCAGAAGGTATCCAGCCATGTAATGTTAAAATAAACATTCACTGAAGAAGATACAAGATATAAGAAACATTGTACACAGGACAATGATGCCTCAGTTCCCTTCAAAGTAGGCACCTTGGGACTTCACACAGTTCTCCCACTCACCATCAGCTGCCTGGTCATATTTTCCTGAATCTCATCGATAGTCTAAAATCTCTTCCCTTTCAAAGGTGGTTTTAGTTTTGGGAAAAGCCAGAAGTAGCAGGGTGCTATAGAGGGGCTTAGTCATGTGGGTGATTTGATGTTTCACTAAAAATCTCTGTATAAGACATGATATATGAGCAGGCACGTTGTCGTGATAAAGCTGCCAATCACCAGTTTCCTATGGTTGCGGCCTTCTGAATCATCTGAATAGTTTCTGTGGGGGAAATGTTCAGGCCTAATGCAAAATATGATGCAGAATCATTGCTCTACTCGCTCAGTCATCTTGAATGTGATGGCCACACAGTCACATCCTCACTCAACAGCATCTACCACCCCACTGACTAGCACAGTGAAATTGTCATTGTTCATTCATGGGCATTCCAGTCTACTCTCCTTGGCGTCCAGGTTTACACTGATATTGTGCAAACCATTCTCATTATATTAACAATGCCTGGACTTCTTCTGGACAGACCTTGTAATCAATGAGCATTCAAAAAAATGTTTTGGTTTCATGTAGCCTTTTTTAAAAAAAATTATGACTGAGAACAGCTGGTCCTAAATTTTTCTAGTGATGTAAACCTTGATGGATAATAACACAAATAATACTTCTAACTCACAAATACAATGTAATATGGAAACTGGAATAATAAATATTTTTGCATGTGCCAAAATTGTTACCCAAATAGAAATGGTAATTGTTTTTGTAAATTATGAAAAATAACACAAACACAACTACAAGAACACTTCTTACATTCTTTCATAGTGTATAAAGGTTAAAGTATTTCTGCATAAACTAAGACTTAATCAGTTTCCAAGACTTACTCCTCCTTATTGAGAATGGCATAATTCTGGACTTCAGATGGATTTGGGAGGTATTCTAAGACAGCATCTAAAAGAGGCTGAACTCCTTTGTTCTTCAAGGCACTTCCCACAAAGACAGGAGAAAATGACCTAGTTAAAGTAGCTCTTCGGATTGCAAGCTGCCAAAAAAAAAATTAATGATTAGTCAATCCTAAAAATTACACTTTGTGTTTCAGACCAATTACAAACTAAAAAATGAAAGAATGTATTAATACTCCTTGGAGTATTGGCTCTATTGGGCATTAGAATCAGGTTCTCTATAACTTAAGGTCAAAATACAAAACAAAAAGAGAAAAAAACAAATAGCTTTTCAGGGCTAAAAAGCTGCTTTCAACACTTTTGAAATGTCACTAATTTTTAATTTGACAAAATTATATGCACATGCACACATATATACACACTTAGAAGACACACACATAGAACAGTGTAAACAGCATGCTATGTAAAACACTATGCTAATTGAGTAATATAAAGGAGAAAGAATATATATATATAAATCTCTTGAAAGATACACTGGCAACTTATTAACTGGTTACCTATTCAAGGGAGGGGGCAGAAAACTAAGCAGCCGTGTACTTTTGTATATTTTTAAATGTTTAAACCATAAACATTTAAAAATTGTTTCATCTAATAAAAATATTTAGTGTCATCTAATAAATAATTAACTGATTTATTTTCTTTTTTTAAAGAACACACATACTTATTGCTATAACATTTCTATATTTATCTTCTTTCTTAATAAAAATGTACTCAAAAGGTTGGCTGTTTGTCTTTTTTTCCTAGAACAAACTATGACTCCCTTTCCATTTTAAGAGATTACATAACTCAGTTATACAACACAATATATATTATGTAACACCTGAGTTATATAGAACTCTTACATGACAGTAATATGCATGTCAAGTATATTTTGAAGAAACCAATTATGTTAAATAAATTTACTCCAATTTCATTAGTAAAACCCATGCATAAAAGCATCATATTCAGGTCCATCCACGCTGTCACAAAAGGTAAGATCCCTTTTTTTTTCTTTTTTAATTTTTTACAGCCAAGCAGTACTCCATTGTGTAAATGCACTAAGAAATAACTTTTTTAAACAAGGCATCATGTTCACTCCCTGAGAAACAAAACAAAACTTCCTCTCTATTTTTGCTTAATATAAGACTTCTTCTGAGAGCACTTGCCTTTAAATCAGAAACTGAGGGGATTTTTTCTTCCAGGAACATCTCGCCAAGCTGCTCATCTGAATTGGCAACACATTCAATCAGCTCCTGCCGGTGGTCAGCTGCCGCTGCCCTGAATTCTGCTGGAATCTCCTCATATCGAATGATCTGGCTAAAAACAGAAATGGTTTATTTGGGTACTTTAAGGATATGCCATCAAACATATAAAGCACCAGTGAAAAAGTTAAACTAATAGCTAACAGTCTTTTTAGATGAGAAAAGGCTCTCATATATTTGTATTAATATGGTAAATAGTACCAATATATATCTTTAAAATTCAGACAGCAGGCAAAACAGGCAAAGCAAATTGCTCCAGACTGTACTACTAGTAAATGGAAGAGCCAAGATTCAAAGCCAACCTAACTTCAAAGCTATGTGAACACCTAAATATTTTATTAACAAAATTAATCAAAACACTGCAGTCTCTTAACAAGCAGGATCAGAGACCTGACTATTCCTTTCCATTCGTAACAAACCCAATCACGTAATCTTTAACACAGACTACCCCATTTTCTAGTAACGAGGGTCACCAAACACAACAGACTCGTCCACCTTGGCAGCAGCTCTCCATTCCTCTAGAGGCCAAAGAGGTGGGAGTCACAAATAAAATACATATAGTGAATAAGCAAATACACTTGATATTTAGAAATAATTAGATGAAAGTTCTCAAAGTATTTTAAAAATGAAACTAATACCAAAAGAATAATAATCTTTTCAGAAAAAAAACATAACTAAATAAAAACAGCTAATTGCAAATAGTTCTAAAGAATGTTCTTCATAATCTTTAGAGCTTAATTTCTTCCTTTCTAGCAAGCTCTCTGGTTCCTTGACTTTTACATCAGGATCATCAAAATACATGAACCCAGTGGTCTAGGGCTGGGAAAGGGGGCAGGTTTATTAAGAAGTTCCATCTGTGGTTCTGATGTAGTCCTGGGGAAGTGGACTGATTGATTTACAAATATTTGTTCAGTCCCCACTATGTATCAGACAGCCCTCTGGCTGGTGAAATAGCAGCGGGCAAACCTGATAAAAACCCCTGCTCCTGGGCCTTACACTCACTTGAAGGAATAACAGGCCAACCCTGTTGTCATCACTTAGCTGTCGCACAAGAAGCGTGAGAAACACTCCGGCTGTGGGACAGCTCTACAGGCCAGCTGCTGCAGATAATTCTCCGTTCAATGACCACAACACCCTTTATCCATCTGCCAGGGCAGGGACCCCAGCTCACAGCAGAGGTAGGAAACTGCCCGGCTGCTGGGGCCACTCCTCAGAGCAAGGGTCATGTATGACCCTCACTCTGTCCAGATCAGTGCCACTCAAAGCGTGCTCTGCAGCCTGGGACAGCAGCATCATTGGGAGCTTTCCAGAATGCAAATTCCAGGCCAAACCCTGAGATCTACTGACTTGATCTCTGGAGGGGGACACAAGAGTATGTGTCTTAACAAGCTCTCCAGGCGACTTTCCGAATGCCGTGGTTTGATGACCACCGAGCAATTACAGTGCTTTGTATGCTAAAGTCACCCAAAAGTTGACTGACAAACCAAATACTATGTCAAACAGTTACCAATTTGCTTCTTGTATGCCAAAACATCTGTACAAATTCTAAGTGCCTTTTATACATTAATCTTTTTATCTTTGTAATGCCGTGAAGTAGGTAGAGGAAATATTTATGATTCCTAGTTTCCTACCAGTTTTTATCACAATACCCAGGACGTAGCTGCTCCCTAAAAGTCCACAGAATGAATGAGTTGATGAATGAATGGGCACTACATTACTGACCCAAGTTGAAGGCCTTCTATCACACCATACATGTCATAATGGTATATAAATATATTACCCAACAAGTACCATACTCTCCCTCTGAATGAATACTAAGCAAAATGGGAAGTAACTATGATTAAAGGCATTAAAACAAAATCATCTTAGAGGATATTCTTCCAGCAACATTTCAAAAAAGTGTTTATGTTTCAAGAACGCATCCTTTCCTTCTCTTTAGTACTTTCTGAAATGTAAGAATTTAATGGTATATTTTTAATACTTACCCAAAGTCCCCATCAAAATAGATGGCTCGTTCTTCAATAAGATCTATAATACCTTTAAAATCACCCTCCAAACCAATGGGTATCTGCATAAATGCTGCATTATGACTTAGTTTAGACCTAAAACAGAGATAAAAATGAATCAACGGTAGATGTCGTAGACCTGGGAGGGTGTCGTCAGCAGGTCAGAACAGAGGACAGAAAGCAGCTGGGAAGAGACGGGCGGCCAAACTCGTCATGCCCAGGAAGCCACAACCCCATTCGGCAACAAAAAGCACTCTAAAAGGATGGTGGGATAACCCTGCCCACATCGAGTCAGCCGACTCCAGCACCCGACTCCAGCTTTCTGGACAGGTTCTGACAGGAGCACTCTCAGCGCAGGTGTTGAAGTCAGACACTGATCACCAGCCTGTAGCCGCCACCAGGCACAACCGCTGACAGGGAACTACACTCACAGGCTGGGACTCTCGCTGACAAGAACCATGCTCTAGCTCCCACTGTTTGCTACGGACTCCAGGTGCCCATCTATAATTATGGACAGAAAACACGATGTACCCAAATATTTGAAGGAAACCAATAGCTTAAAAGAGACACAGGAGTTCAAGAAATAGTACTAACCTCCAAGGAGAGATTTACTAGAAGAAATAAAATATAAAGCTCTGAGAAGTAATTACCTCTATTAATAAGGACATTGCAATAAAAGAGAAAGTTTATGTAAATTAACTATATATAACTGCTGAAATTAAAAAGAAAAACACAGGCTAGATCACTGCAGGGCTGCAGATGAACAGGCGATGAGTGAACTGGAAAACTGACCTCGATAATTCACTCACTGCTCGTTTCCAAACAGAGACAGAAAGCAGAAGAAAGTATGGAAGAAAAGTTAAAACACAGAGACCAGATCTAGAAGTTCTGAATACTGTCCAGTGGGGATTACATAAATGAGAAAACAGGTAAAAAGGGAGTGATACAAACCAGTGGTCAAACAGATGCTAGAAAAGAATGTTCCTGAAATTCAGAAAAAGGCTTGGCAGGAAGAGTCCCTGCATTGCCGAGCACAACTGAAATATGAGTAATAAAGGTAAAAAAAGTGAGAATGTTTCATTTTACCAAGAAAATATTATAAGTATCTAGTAAAGAAAAATTTCACTCTCGTATTCTCATATACATCACGTTCATCAAAGTGCTCAGAGTGGCACGGTCACTCAGAGTTCCTCAGCACCCTCTCTTTTGTCACCACTCCCAGCCTTTCCGCTCTCGTCACCTTTGCTGCCTACGACCATCAGCTCTGCCTTGTGTGAGCTGGGCCGAAACTCCACAGCTCCATTCACACGTCTGCAGGAGGTAAGAAGTGGAACTCTGACTCTTTCCAAAGACTATCTGAAATACGCAGAGCTGCGCACAATGTAACAAACTCTGAAAACCACCGGGCTCTGTCTGGTGCAGACAGGAAGGGCTACTGCTCTCAGCAGGCGTTTCACCACTGAGAGCACTCAGCTGTATCCCTCGGGCTAAGGTGAAACTAAAGAAGATCCTCAACATTTGTCTAAATAAATGCAAAGCACTTTTAGAATCTACTCGAGGTTCTAACTTCTTTAATTGCAGCAAAACAGAAATTGCCAGACTGTTTTCTGAACTCAGCATCCTTACAATTTAGGTCCTGTTCTCCCCATTTTATGGAGAAGGCAGTTGATGAGATCACACCACCCACCAAACTACCGACTTCAGTGCTCCATTTACTGAAATAAGTCACTCACATAAATACATTTTTTAAAGGAGGGGAAATGTAAGAATAAAGGTTAATGATATTGAATGAATTGTCCTGAATACAAAGTTTGTTATCAGACCGTCACACCCCCTCTGTCCTTTGTAAAGTTCAGTACCTCATTTGCTGCAGCGCCCTGGCGGGGTTGGAGCCCATCCGGTCCAGTTTGTTAATGAAAGTTAGAAATGGAACGTTGTAGCGCTTCATCTGCCGATTCACAGTCATGGTCTGGCACTGCACCCCTCCGACCGCACACAGCACCAGGATGGCGCCATCTAACACTCTCAGGGCCCGTTCGACTTCTATTGTGAAGTCCACGTGCCCTAGAGGAGACAAAGAAGCATGTGGTGGTCTTAAAAAGCAGTGTGAATTTTTATAACATGCATAATTACAAGTCTTCGTATCTCTGCTCATCACATAAGTCTTCTAATTAGAATGTGAATTTTTTAAATCACCAATACCGTTCATCACCATAAGGCCCAGGCGCCCCACAAGATTACTTCAAAAGCGATACAAGGGCATGGGAACCTCTGGAATCAGCTACAACCTGTGAAAGGTACAGCCTTCCTAGTCACAATTTACTAGCACGATTTTTCAGGGAAACCACAGAAGGACGAGGTGCTCTAGTCAAAGTTCTCAAAGTTCCCAAGTCAAAGTTCTCTAACAGGGACTCAGTCACACTTTTGAGTATTATTTGATACTCAAAAAGGAGCTGCATCAGAATAGCTAAAGGTGGTTTTGCCCAAACAATTTGCTATAAAACCAAGAACTGAACCCACCAGGAGTGTCTATAATGTTGATATTGGTATCTTTCCACACGGTGTAGGTGGCCGCTGACTGAATGGTGATTCCTCTTTGTCTCTCCAGTTCCATGGAGTCCATGACAGCACCAACTCCATCTTTCCCTTTCACCTAAACACAAACACAGCAATTCAGATTGCCCCATCCCTGCATTCCAAGAAGCAAAGAAATCTTTACTGAGATGTAGCCAGAACACAGGTAGTTAACTGATGTGATTTGCAGAGAAGCCTCATTTGTCAAACCATGCCACCTCATGAAACAGAAAACACTATAGGTTTCACCCTCCATTACTTGCCCAACCCTGCTTTCATTGGCGTTCTCAGTGACTACAGCCAGAGCAATCACCCCGTCTCAGAGCCATCCCTGCCCCTTCCGCACGGGCCCTGTCCTCCAGCCCCGTGTTAGTCTGTGAGCAGATGTTCAGAGAACAGAATTTTCCCTGCTCTGTGCTGCATATGGATTTTGAGGCCCAGGTGGGAAGGACTCAGCTTTTAAAACATGTGATTTAAGAAGATGATCTTCATCTGAAAAAATATTTTTAAATGGAGAGTTAAGTTACTCAATGATAATGGAATTTCTTCAGGAAAGTTTCGAGATTTTTTTTTCTTAGAAAGTTGGAGAGGGAGCGAGGGAGAGAAACATTGACCAGTTGCCTCTTGCACGTGCCCCAACTGGGGACCAAACCTGCAACACAGGCAGTTGCCCTGACCAGGAATCAAACCTAAAACCTTTGGGTTTACAGGACGATGCCCAAACAAATGAGCCATACCAGCCAGGGATGATATATGTACTTTTAACTATTAAGCCCATACTATGTATCATTTTAAATCCTTCCACTTAACACGATAATCATCTCTCCATAACATTCAAAATTATGTAAATGAACCCTGGCTGGGTGGCTCAGTTGGTTGGAGCATAGTTCCATATACCAAAAAGTTGTGGCTTCGATTCTTGGGTCCAGGCAGGTATGGGAAAGCAGTGGGGGGGTTGGTGGGGGTGGCAGCGGCAACAGATTGGTATTTCTCTCTCACATCGATGTTCCTCTCTCTCAAATCAATAAACATATCCTTAGGTGAGGATTAAAAATATAATAAAAGTTATGTAAGTACTATTTGGATGGTTGCCTAAGGGTACATCATATGGACTTAACACTCTCAAAAGACAATCTACTGGTACTCAATTCACCAAGATGGTCTCTAGAGAGATTCCTTAGGGCAACATTTCAAGCCTATTTGAACTATCCGCTTTGTGATAGGAATTTGATTAAAGATCCGCTGTAACCCTTCTTTGACCCTTTCAGGTTTTGTGAAGCTTATTAAATCGTAACTATGAAACCACGAAAGAGCTCTAAGTAATCTGGAATCAGTATGAACCACTACCTCATGCATCTTTGCAATTCGGCCAGTGTAGTAAAGCACTCGTTCTGTCAAAGTAGTTTTCCCAGAATCAATGTGAGCTGAGATTCCAATATTTCTTATCCTTTCGTTAGGAATCACCCCTGAAGAACACCATCGGCAGACCTTCCAATTAACCTGAAAAAAAAAAAGAAAGAAATTTCAATTCATTGCACAGCAAGAAATTAGAATGGGCTTGGCGCACATCTCTCCTCCAAGGATTCTCCATGGACACAAAGCCTCATCCCAGACAGCCTGGAAAGGCAAAAGAATGTGTCTCAACCTGCAACTCTTGGAATCAAAGGAGAGACTGCAAGAAAGGACAGAAAAAGATATATTCTTAAAAATAAATAAATAAATAAATAAATATTCAAACAATTAAATAAACAGGGCAGATACTTTTACTGAAGGTTACAGGTTTGAAACTATACACTAGGGCTGATAAAACCAGAAGGACAGCTCCCAACAACTACTTTAACAGGAAACAGTTCTTGGTTTAAAATTTACTTAGGTTTTCCCCCTTCCCCTTTATTGTAGTTCACCCCAAGCAAGGCTATTCCAGGGCTTGTATGCCCTATGCAGTGGTGAAATAGCTCCCAGGCAGCCTACAAAAGGTTTCTGATTCCTTCTACACAAAAACAATGACATTTTTAAAAATTTTATTTTAATCGTGGGGAGGGGAAAAATCTTGCATTTTATGGAAACAAGACACTATATAAACCTCTGCAGCCACTCTGGGAAAAGAAAAGCAAAACACCTTGCAAAATATGGGTAAAAAATTAAATGGAATCTGGGTGATAGGAGCTTAGTTGAGTCAATGCCAGAGACACCAGCAAACGAAGCAAATGAAGTTTGCATGATAGGAAAGACTCAACTCCTACCTAACCACACTTCTTCATTCTGCGCCCCCCGCACAAGGCAGAAACAAGACCACGGAAAAGTACCGGGACGTTTGAGCGCCAAATCAAATAACCCAGGGTCGTACGAAAGAGAGGGCAGCCAGACCAATGACGCTCTGCAATGAAGAGAGCACTTGATAATGAGTCTAGCGCTGGGTCCGAGCCCTGAACATACTAATTTTTCAGCTGTCTTGACCTTCACTCCAGTCACTTCTCTTTAAGGTGCTTTACAAAAAAGAAGAGGCTTAACCATAAATCGGGGGCACTCAAACCTCCCAGGGCACCGAGACGCTGTTCAAGAAAGACAAGTAATTGTGAAGGCACGATGGGCTTTTCAGCACAGAGACACGACGCTTGTATTCAGAGCTGTCAGTAACCAGTTGCCAGGAAGGGAGGGGGTGTTATTACCTCCCTGACCCCGGAGGGACGCAAGGTCCCGGGGACAGCCCCTAGTTCGGTCTAGTCTCGCCGGGCACTGATAAATACCTGCTTCCCCAGCCTGCCCGGGACTGCCGGGATCCGCGGGAGCGGCCCGCGTCCCAGAGCCGTGACAGCGGCTGCGCCCAGCAGCCTCATGACAAACGCAGAACAGGTGCGGAGGTTCAGCTACTCCGGGTGTGCTCAGCAACAGGCACCGCAGCCAGACCGTTCAAAGTCACGCCTGCGATCAGTGCCGGACGAGCACTTCCGGGGTGAAGGACACAGGGGTGGAAAAAAAGAGAAAGAGGGAGGAGCTTCCGGATCTCCAAGCAGAGCACCGCCATTCGCTGCCCGGGCGCCATCTGCCGGCTTGGAAGAGAAAGTGTCGTCGCTTTGCGGCACTAATTGGGCTTTTGCATACTTCCAGAATGATGCAACTTTTAAACGTCAATGTTTTGCTGATATAGCAATGTGGAGATATGTTTGTAACAGAATTTTAAGTGAAAAAAATGCAAAATTGTTATCTATGCTATTAGAAATATAAGAAAAATTATTGTAGAAACTGACCTGAAGAGAAGGTGGGAAAATAATGAACCATCAATTATCTGTGTATTTTCTCATTACAGTATGTTCTGTCATTGTTTGATGTTAAACGTTATATGCCCAGTCCAAGGAAGACAGTATTCTTAATGATTCCACTTGAGTCTCTTAGAGGCATCTCAAACCTAGTATGTCCCAAATAGAGATCTTCTGATCTTCCTCCCAAACACTTCTGCAGTCTTCATTGTATAAACGCGAACGTCGATTGCCCATACCAAACATGTTAGTCACTTTGACGGCACTCTTTGACACTCCTAATCAGTCAGCGTATGATATAGGCACTACCTTCAAAAACAGATCCAGAACCTGCGCCTTCTCCTCACCTCTCAAGCTTTGACACCTGGACAGAATTGCTGCAATAGTCCTTGCTGCTGTTCTTTCGATTGTCAACACAGTAACTAAAGGACCCCTTTAAGCCAGATCATGTCATTGCATGTCAACACTCCATCCAGTGAATTCATTGTTGCCATTCTCTCTACTTTTGTGTAGGTTTGACATTTTTCATAACTGATTAAAAAAAATCTGTAACGACTTCCCCTCCCAGTCAGAGTAAGCACCTAGCTGCAGGGCTGTGCTGGAGCAGCTGACAGCGCAGCTCTACTTCCCTTGCCCTTTTGCTCCAGCCAGGTTGGCCTCTTTGCTTAGCCTCACATGACCAGAGAGAGAGCTTGCTCTTCCCCAGATACCAGCATGCTTCTTTCACTTACTTTCTGCTCTCTGTTCAAACAGCCTCTAGGTGAGATGTTCCCTGACCAACTCTTCTAAAACAGTAAGTTCCTCTGTCTTCTCACGTTACTTCGATTCCCTGCAGAGCATTTCTTACACATATCAAGACAGTTAGATATCTGCTGATTGTCTGACTAGCAGGGAGAATGTCAGTTCCGTAAGGACATGATTTGGTTTTGTTAACTGCTGTATCCTCTTGCATGTGCAGGGTGCTCAATAAGTATTTGTTAAATGAATGAATGAATGAGACCAAGTGAATAGAAATCAGAGCAAATTACAAGGGACAAGAAGAAAAGCAAAGTCTCAATGATGAACTTTGAATTTACTCTTTGCATATCATCCATGTATTAATTTGCAATAAAGGGTTTATAAGCTGCTTTGATAAATCCATTAACATTGACTATAACTAAACTTTTTCATTTATACACTTTTAAATAGTCTTTATATGTATTTGTCTAAAAATATAAATTAAATACATAATTATGTAAATAGTAATAAAATTAAGGTTTTTACCTTAAGATAATTATGTTAAAGTGTACCAATTAAATGGAAATTACCACTTTAACAAAATTTCCTTCAGTAAAATTTCATACTCATTATCTGTTTTTCTGTAATTATACCAAGTATATTCTGAATTATTTTTAATACCATTTTAGCCAAAGTAGTCAATTTTTGCTTTCTCTACATAAAAAACTGAAAGACAGAAAATAAAGCACTGTTTAGCTCAGTTTTTGTGAGTACACATTATAGATTACCTCTTTTAAGTTGTAAAGGGGTAAAATATAAAATATCACCCACCTATTTGCACATTGTGTTAATTCATAGTCATAAAGTATAAAAATAAAGATAAATTGAAACTATTTTTAGTAACCAAAGATTTGTATACTTAGAAATTGTCCAAGTATCTAAGAATTAAGTTAACATTTCTAAGGTTTTGAAGTCAACTGAGGGTCTGAAAAACTAAATTAAGCTAAAACATAGCTAGAGCCAGCTTTGCACTGCTAAAAGATAAACGGGCATATTTTTGTTTGAGCAAAATCGATTCCAATGGGCAGCATCAATCCACAAGTGACTAGCAGCTCTCCACCAAGGGCAGCAGCTGGGGAAAGACAAGGAGGCAGAAGCAAAGCAATGAAAGTCTTTGACTGGCTGTAGCTTAAGCGGTTGCCTTACTTACAAAAGCCTATTTGGCTGTTTGTGCTTGGGTGTCTTTAGGTTTCAATTCTTCACCTTGAGCCATTACAGGCTTAGGTTTTACTTTGCTCACAGGGGCTACTGAGACATGAAAGCCACTTCAACCTAATGGCCTCCTTGTTTCATTAATTTAATAATACAAATATGAGAGCATCCATGTAAAAGTCTAATGACCTTCCCTCCTCAAGAAGAGAGCTTAAATATAAGCTGTATAGTTAAAAAGCCCTGAAGCATGAAAATAGAAGATTCAACAGAAACAAAGTGTTCATTTTCAGATAAATGACACGGAGGCTTTGCCTATATTTTTTGGTGTTGTCTTCTAACGTGCCTCTCAAGGGAAAGTCTTCAACATGTCACAGTTCCCCAAGTGATCACTGCAAAGCCTTGCTGAAGTTATGCAAGGTATAACAAATCTATTACCCAAGGTAATACAAATCTATTAGCCAACAAACCCATGAAGAGCTGTCTGATGTTCTAGCAAAAGTAAGGCATTGCTATGCCCGTCTCAGGCTGACTACTGACCTGAGAAACATGTGGTTAGAAGGCAACATGCATGGGCAGAAGGATTCTCCCAAAGCAAACTTCTTATACAAGCCCAAAGTAAGTTTTCATGGACAAATAATATAAGACGGTGGGAAAGCAGACAGAAGGTAGCAGATGGTGTATAAAGCAAAATTCACCAGAGGACACCAAATCTATTAGAACTCCCAAACCTCAGCATGACACTGGGGCCAAAGAGATCATTAGAATGCAGATCACTGCAAAGCTATGTAAAAGGGACCTTAAGAAGTATCAGATATGTACATTTTCACCACAATGAAGGTCCTATTCTTTGCAGTCTAGGTCCAGCCTCAGTAGAATCTCCCAACTGTCCTAGCCTGATCAGCCTGGGACCACTGTCTCAGTTCCTTCGGGCTGCTGTAACAAAAGTACCATAGACTGGGTGGCTTATAGAGATTTCACATAGTTCTGGGGGCTGGGAAGTTCAAGAGCAAGGCTGGGAGATCTGACATTGTGTGAGGAAATACTTGCTGGCTCAAAGGTGGTAACTTCACTCTTTGCTCACTTGGGAGAAAGAGCAAGGGAGCTCTCCAAGTCTACTTCAGGAAGTCACTAATTCTATCGGTGAGGGCTCCACCCTTGTGACCTAATCACCTCAAGGCCTCACCTCTAAATCCCGTCACACTGCCATGTGCATGACACCAACAGACCCCAATGTGCTCCCAGCAATGCCCCATGACAGTACAGGACAATGGAGTCATGAAGGTCACGAAAACTTATCACTGGGACTGGCCAGCACCAGGAAAACCTTTTAAGTGGCAAGGAGCCTAAGTATGCAACTTGGCCTTATTATTAAGGCCACAGCCACCAATTTGTTAATATCCTTGCATTCCCAGAAGACCTAGAGTTCCAGAAAGATCAATGTTGCCCATTAAGGAAAAAGAATACAATATGTGAACTGCAAGCTACAGAGAGCCTTCTTTTTGATGCTGGTTGATTTCCATACTATGGTAAAAATAAATTCTGAAAAAAAGACAATGTCAGCATGATGTGAACATAAAAGATTTGACATTTAATCTCTATATGTCTGGTGGCCCCTTAGGAAGCACTGTGGGATAAGAAATATATATATTTAGTTCAATTTTTATTTAATTTTAATGGTAAACAAACTATGAAGAAAAAAGTGTCCATGAATTCTCAAACTTCTACATGATGCACAGAAGTTATACAGTTTGCTACTGTTATTTACTGAAGTGTTTTCATATTTGGATATAATGATTCCAGTTATCATGAGTATAATGATTTAGGCAAAGGAGTATAATTACACTGTCTACTCTTGAGGTTTTGCTCTATCAAATGAATTTCTACAAAAGTGTTCTTTAAAATTTATGCCTTATGACAACCACCCAATTGTGATAGTATGTTATGAACACTAAAGTGTGTAGAAAAGAAAAAAATTAAACATCTTTAATTCTTGTGCACTTTTTGTTATAAAAATTAATTGATACATATGCACCTTATCTTAGCAACTAAAGGCGTGAAACAATGACTAGTAAAATTAACAGATGATGCAGAACACGAGAAGAGTATGAGCACAATCACATGATTCTACTTTCCAAGCAAAAAAAGGACGGTATTCGGATTGTAGAGTGATAGTGGATTTTCTGTTTTATTTTTCCCCTTGACATAACAAAGACATAAGGGATAAAGTTTTAGATTCTAATAAAGTTCAAACCTAACTTTTATAAAAAGCAAATTAATGTTCGAATTCTAGAATAAAAATGCTAGAGCTGAATTTTTAAATGGTATAATTAAAAAGGGAACAATTGAATTATTAAATACCTACCTCAAACACACACACATCACCTGTCTAAGAAATTTTGAGACAATCAATCATTTAGGTTTGCAGAATACCAAATGCATTTTTCTAAATGTCACAGGAAGGCTGAGCAGTCTCTTCAAGGACACTAACGTTAGGGTGTTAACAGCAGAGACAGATTAAGCTGTTTGTAAGAAAGAAGAGTAGAAATGTGCTACCTTAAGAAGTTACACAGAAAGGTCAATGTAAAGTCTAATACATGTTAAGAATATAGAACACAAAATACTATATAAAAAACTACAAGAAGGAAATTCATGAAAATTAGCAATTGAAAATATTTCTTTAAAAACAAACTATTTGATTGTTCCTTTTCTTTATCAAAATAATAACTAATTTCTCATAAGACAGTACTAGTATAGTTTTGCTTTACCTTTTAAATAACTCTTTAAGCTGACTGGCTTTACAACACATAAATTTTGAGCTAAATAATTTTAACCTTTATTAACATGACTCTAGTGTAGTGTTAGTGAAAATCAAGACCACCTTTTAACAATTTAACTTTCTTGTAACTAATTATATAAAACTAGTTCCACATTCAGTCTTGTATAAAAGAATACCTAGCCAATCGGAAAATAATTGGGAAAGCAAAACCAAGCCTGTGGACTTTAAGAACCAGGATATTTTAAAGAGTTTGACAGAATGTTTGACAAATTGGCTGTGTCATTGAAAATCAAAGTTTTATTCTTCCAGTAGGACAATTATAAAGCTAGCACTTCCATTACATCGAGATATCAGAAGAAAGTTGCAAAGTACAGTATTGATTTAACAACAAGAGATTGGTCTTATGTGTATTACCCAGCACCATTATTTTCTCTGTTAAAACAACCCAAACTAAACACTTCAAATGCAAGGCTATTTATTTTTTGTTGATTTTCACAGGTGAGCCTTTGATGTTGAGTTTGTCCACAAAAGCATTTGCTCTTCTTCCGTGTTCAATGGCGGGACTTTGATGAGGTCTCTCCCTGAGAAATGTACATATGAACATTAATACCATTTTTTAAGTGGTCAGTGGTTTACAAATCAGTACAAACATGTTTAAAACCACTGTGAGTTAAGCAAAGATTTATCTTAACAGTTCCTTAACGGCTTTGAAAAACACACGGTGGGAGGGAAGTGGGGAGGGTTGGGAGGGTGGGCTGGAATGGGAGTAAAAGGGAGAAAACTGTACTTGAACAATGATTAAAATACAAAAAAAAATTAAAAAAAAGAAAAAAATAGAAAAACACATGGCAGACTATTTTGCTTAACATTTAAGGAAGCGGCAGCTGCCTTCCCGAGGCAGCGTTCACCGTGTATGGTTTGACCACGCTGCCCAACATGGTAGCCTTATCATTTATGCTTAAATTAATTAAAATAAAAATTTAAAATGCAGTTTCTCAGTGCGCCGGCCACATTTTAAATGTGATTCAGTAGCTACATGAGGCTACATTTTGGGGCAGGACAGATATAGAACATTTTCATGGTTATGGAAAATCACTTCAGAAAGTTCTATCACATGGTACTAGCTTACAGAAAGTGCCCCTCGTAGGACCATAGATTTAGAGATCATCCATAAAGAACGCGCTTTCTTTCACTGGCACCTGGATTTCATAGTCAGTCTTACCACTGGTAGGTTTTGATCAAGGAACTTTTCAAAGTGGGACAAATATTATCCAAAATTAATATGGCAGCAGATTTTCTATAGCAAATATTAGGGTTCTAAACTCCTAAACACGTATTTTAAAATGAAAGATGCTAGCTCATAAAATTCTGCACAAATGTTCTGATTTACTTAATACCCGCTGGTCCCCCACTGGCTCTGTGAAGCCCTCTGCCCTCTGCACCAGGCCCCCCTATACCTCGGACAGAGTTCTGTTTCAAGGCCTGTTGAGGTCTCTCTCGTGCACACATGTAATTTCAATAGGAATTAGGTATTATGTTCTCCATTCCCCTGCCCCAGAGACCCAAATTAAATTACACCTCTAGAAAATACACTAAATGCTAAACATTTATACACTAAAGAGTTATACTTCACAGCTATTCCAAATGTAATTCCAAAGGATGATTAAACAAGTGTCTAAAAATGCACTGGCTATTAAATACTGCTTTTTGACTTATTAGGAAATTTTGGTGAAGCCTTTCAAATACAGTCCCTTATCCCTTACCACCTCTCTAGATACCAGTGTCTTTACCTGACATGAAACGTGACTTCCACCCACTACATATCCACATTAAAATCTGTTTCACAAGAATAACTACATTATAGCACGTCACTGTTCCTTAGAGAATTAAGCCCTTATCTTCTGAAGGGTAGTTTGAAGTGAGTTACTAATCATGTAATCCTGAAATATTATTGGATTTTAGGTATAAAGTTAAATTTGTGTGGTATACCCAGATATAATGTAAAATTACATATTTCACAAAAGATACTGTTGACAACAAGCCACTAGGGATGTTGATGAGAACTTCTTGATGACAGAGGTAAAATTACATAACCTTTTTTCCTAAGTCTTCTTCAAATAACACAATTTATTTTAGAAATAATGTTTACCTTCTTTTAAGTTCTCGGGATCCTGAATTCTCATGCCCAACACCACGCATCCTGCTGTTTTCTAGATTGCGCCACTGTCCCCCTGGTTTGTATTTTAAGACCTCATTTTGCCACTCGTCATCAAAAGCATGAGCATCACCTACATTCAATATGGAAACAAAGGGATAAGTATTAAGGTGTCAATTGTCAGTGAATGCCTTGCTTCTTACCCACTTCACTCTACCCTGATGTTTCCATCCGCCTAACCTCAAGGTAGAGGCAGGAAACTGCTTCAACTATAAAGGTTCTGAGTCAGGGTAATATTGCCTTTTCTGTTTGTTCCTCTCCTGTTCCTATTGACAATTTTGTTTTTGATGATCTGGTTTTTCACGTACTTGCCTGGATATCATATTATTCTACCTAGTGGACCACTTGACCCAATTCACTAACTTATAGTCTTTCCAACTGGGTTTCCCATAGTGATCACCTTTTTCTCTGCAGGTAAACACTCCGCCTGTGGCCAGCACTTCCTATTAACCTCACCATTTTCCTACGTCACTTAGCCTCACAAACTTCTGTTTCAGTGTCCGAAGGCAGGTCACCCACCTCGACTGTCAACTTATGTTATTATGAGATAGGTAATCTATCTTCCATAACAGCAGCAATAGGTAAATGACAATTTGCATTCTTTCAGATTACCTTTATCATAATGTACCCTTCACTAAATTTTTCTTCAACATGTTAATTACGGTGAAGTATTCTGTATATATTTCAACATGACACAATTATAGAGATTAAAATTACAGAAAGGTAAGACATTGTGGCTTTCATCTCATTACACAAGAATAAGTTTATCAAACTCCAACCCTCAGAGAAATTCTTTTTCTAAAATTATATAATAATTCAAATGCTTTACTATGATAAAATATATTTATTCAGGATGTTTTCTGAATACAGGAGATGAATATAACTTAAAAACAACAATGATAAGAGTTATGATACAGGAAAGACAAGCTCATTCAAGAATGAATATAAAATCTAGACAGAGAAGATTTTCTTGATATACACATAATATATTGTATATTTATAGTACATATTTCTAACAACACCAGATATTAAAATCTTATCTATATAAAAGTTTAAGTATCCAACAATATGGAACCTTTTAAATAAATTATGGCCTACTCATGATAAACTTTTAGAGGTAACCATTTAGAATGCTTTGAAAAATATAGATGACTGTTCATAATCATAATGGAGAATTCAAATAAGCACAATATAAATTATAAAGATAGTAAAATATTAACTTTGAAAAAGTAGGTATTTATACATGAAGTTATTAAGAAGAAATATACTCAATATTTTGGATTGAGATTACAAATAATTTTAATTTTCTTCTTTATGCTTTTTTATATTTTTCAAATGTACTTCTTTGAAAATCAGAAATATTTTACACTCATTTTGCTTTCTGAATCTTACTAAATAACAATTCAAAATATTCCATTTCCCAAATAGAAAACAAAAAATAAATGATACCAAGCATTACCAAAGCTTACTATAAAAACAGGTCTGTTGTGAATTATGAAATCACAATTATATTACTTTGATAAAGTATTTCGTACACTTTCATAAACTACCTCAAAATGACATCTTATGAAACATTTCTATGAAACACGTTTAAGGTCCACCAGTACAGATGCTACTTTGACTTTAAGAGCAGGAATGCCATCTTCTGTGATAACTTACTTTCATTCATATTGATGAACTCCTGGTTGACCTCTTCATCTCCAGTCTTGTTGTTCTTTGATTTTTTAATGACATGAGCTCGGTCATGGAGATGATGGCCAATAGCCATTTTTTCTAGTCCACTGTCAGAGTCTCTCAATGCCTTCCTAGTTTCCTTTATCTGTAAAAGTAAAAAATAAAAATTAGCTATTATTTATTATTATCTTTCTTTTACATTTTATTTATTTTTAGAGAGATGGGAAGGGATGGAGGAAGAGCAGGGATGAAACATCGGTGTGTTAGAGATACACTGATTGGTTGCCTCTCACATGTCCCCAACTGGGGACCCAGCCCGCAACTCAGGCACGTGCCCTAACCTGGAATTGAACTGGTGACCCTTTGGTTCACACAGCAGCACTCAATCCCCTGAGCCACACCAACCAGGGCAAAAATTTAACTACTATTTAAATATATATAGAATGGATATAATTCTAAACTCCTCAGGGACTGTTTACTGTAAGGATAAGACCCTCTAGTAAAAATAAACAGTAACTCTACTGGTCTAAAAATAATGGGCACTCAGTTCCACTACCAACCTGCAGTAAAATTATGGTAATAGTTCTGATATTTCCTGAACTGCTTGAAATTAAAATGTCTAGGACAAATAGAACCAATACAATTTAACCTTTTTCAAAAGTGCAATCAAATATGAGAACAAAGAAAAGCAATGATATAAAACATAGTGCCTTCAACACTGCCGTTACGCATGTGCTGGACCAGATGGGAATGCATCTAGCAGCGTGCCTACAAGTGAGAGCAAGTAATGACTCAACAGTCAGGTCGGTGGGGCTGAATCTCATGATTCCCACCTATGAACTCTATGGGTTATTAGAATAGCCCAGAACTGCTAACATGGTCTGCTGTGGGACATCTCATTTATATTCTGAAGCATGTCACTTACAGCAAGGTGAAATTACGACATCTGAGATGAATTAGCTGCACCATTGCAAAAGCATGATTAACAGGTATGCCTTATATGTAAGAACTGAAAAATGAACCACTCACATCATTGGAAAGGCAAATCTATTTTTTTTAATATAAGTACTAACGAAGATATGGAGAAATGGGAACTCTCATACCATTTTGTGGAAGCTGACTGTTTCAATCCCTGTGTGACAGTAATTTAGTAATTTCTAATGAAAATGGTGCAAATCTCCTACAAACTAACAACACCATTCCTAGACCCTTTGCACAAAGAGACATGTTTAAATATGAATAAATAAAAAATTAGAAATGCCTAATTGCTTATCAGTAGAAAAATAGATTTTAAAACTGTGGTATATTCATATTTTGGATACTGTTAAGAAGGCAAAGAAACCAGATATACACATATCTACTTGAATAAATCTCAGAAGCATATCACCGAGCAAAGTCAAGTAGTAGAGGACATGCAATGTGAAGCCATTTATATAAAGTTTAGAAACCTGAAAATGATTCCTTATATTGTTTATAAAGCATATGTAAGTAATAAAATTGTAAAAACATGCATAAGAACAATAAATTCCAGATGCAGGATAACAGTTCTGTTTGAGGGGGAGAAAAGGAAAAGGGACCAGGAGGGAGGAGTACACTGGAAGCTTTAACTGCATCTGCAAAGTTTTTGCTTCAAAAGAAAATAAAAAGAGACCATTCAAAGCAAATAGAGAACCACTGCACACAGGTCAGAATGGCCATCATAAACAAACCACAAACAGTAAGTGCTGACGAGGCTATGGAGGAAAGGGAACCCTAGTGCACTGGTTGGTGGGAATGTAGACTGGTGCAGTCACTGTGGAAAGCAGTATAGAATTTCCTCAGAAAACTGAAAATGGAACTGCCTTTTGACCCAGTGATCCCACTGCTGGGATTACACCCTAAGAATCCTGAAACACCAATCCAAAAGAACCTATGCACCCTGATGTTCACAGCAGCACAATTTACAATAGCCAAGTGCTGGAAGCAACCTAACTGCCTATCAGTAAATGAGTGGGTCAAAAAACCGTGGTACATTTACATAATGGTATACTATGCAGCAGAAAGAAAGAAGGAGCTCCTACTCTTCATGACAGAATGAATGGATCTGGAGAATATTATGCTAAGTGAAATAAGCCAGACAGTGAAAGAATAATACCATATGATCTCACCGATAAGTGGAACCCAATTGACAAACAAACAAGTGAGCAAAACAGAACAAGAGACATTGAAATAAAGAACAAACTGACAGTAACTGGAGGGTAGGGGGGGATAACGGGGAAAATCAAGGAACATGTATAAAGGACCTGTGGACAAAGCCAAAGGCAGGGAGGATTGAGGGTGGGAGGTGGGTGTGGGTGGGGCAGGGGAAAGTGTTGATGGGGATAATGGAGACAACTGTACTTGAACAACAATAAAAAACCCAGAAAGAAAAGAAGAAAAAATGTGATTTGACTAAACTGGGTGAAAGGAATATGGGTATTTATACTATTCTTTATATCCTTTCTGTCTAATTGTAATACTTCATGAGTTAAAAAGTGTATTTGCTTCAAATATATTAAAAGTAGACATTTATTTCATGAAACAGAGACTTCTTTTGGTGTCTATGCAACTGTCAACATGTAATGGTAATAAACATCAATAGATATTTACATGAAAAAAATGTGAGATCGTGGAGACAAGAAATGCCTCATTGTTCTCCACAGTAACATGGGTCTTCTCCCCTCCAAATGTCTGCAGTACCAGGTCGGATTTTAATAATTAGCATTTGGCACAGGCGCTCTACCATTCCACAACTTTATAAAGCTCGAAGAATGCTTAGAAAATACTCACTCCCCCTGGAGCCCGACGGGTCTGAGTTGAGGCCTGGAAAACCTTTGGTGGTTCGTCTCCTACTTTGGAATAAGTCATAACTGAGGAAGAAGTAAACGAATGTCCATTTGGATCCATTGAAAGGTGATCCTAGAAATATAAATTGTAAATCCAGAGAGTTTAGTCAAATATGAAGAGTTGGTGTCAGAGAACTGAAGCAAGTAACAACACTGACTGGCAGTTCTGCTAAGGACACTGCACCATCAGTACGGCATATCCAATGGCACCCCCAGGAGGGGCCTAACTTCCCTCCATTTTAGCCACCAGTTCCTGCTGTCCTCGTGAGGAATAATATGCGATTCACTCGAAGATCCTTAAGTCTTTGGGACCTAAGACTTTCAGCTTAGATTTAAATACATTGTAGACGCCATGATACTTTGAGTCAGTGGTTGATGCTCATGTGCCAATTTGCCCACGTTGAGCCAATCAGCTGTATACCAAGAGTTTATACCTCCTGTGGGTACCAGTTTGCTGCATTACTAAAATTGCTCTGAAATGATCCTTAGATTTCAAAGTAGATGACTAAAATAATATGGGTCTTTTTCATATCAACTCAAGTAACCATTTTGACATTAATATTATGAGCAGAAAAGTAAGAGAGTTAGTACTAGTTTTTAATAAGTATTTGGACTATATGAATCCATTCCAATGTCTGAACACCATTCCTGAAATTTCTATTATCAGATTTTTTCTTAAACACCCAAACTTAAATTCTTAGATGACATAATTCCTTTTAAGTAGACATGTTATAAAATAATTTAAAAAATCTCAATTCATATAAAATGTTCCTTTACAGTAGTGGCCTTCAGCAGAACAAATTCTTTAGAGGTTGCATTTTTTTCATTTTGAAAATTAATGCTGTTTTTTCAAACTTGTAGGTTGTAAAATCAATATTGTGGGTTGTGACCAAGATTTTGAAAATATGAAATAAAATAGAAAATATCAGCACATACTGTAAATAGTATGATCATTTACTTATAAAATATTTTTCAGGTATATTCAGGATCATGATATAAGATATATTTTTCAACTACTGTGTACTGTGGTTAAAGAGAGTTTGAAAGCCACTTTAAAATCAGGTACCAATAACTGAAAACAATGTTCCCATCAATTTCTTTAGTACTTACAAAGTTTCTTTGTAATTCCTGCATACTGTTTCGCATATTTAACATCATTCGGTCCATGGCCTGAAAAGGGTTGACATCTGTACGCTACAGGGTATTAAGAAGGATGTTATTAACTATAACGCAAAAGAAACAAACCAACCTTTCCAAAATTTTGTTTCTCAATTTATGCAGCAGGATCTCATGCAGTAATTGTCCAAACAAAGATAATTTAAAGACTGTATGGTGAAAATGATTTGTTAAAGAAAGAATTAAAGGATACACAAAATGCCAAACAGCCAACTTATAAATGATTAGGAGGCCATAATACTATAAATACAAGCATACATACACACACATACAATTGTATCAAAACAGTTTACTCTTGTATTATTATGTATTAACTATTGTATTATTTTCCATAAGAACTGCAAACCTACTTTTGCCCCATCCTATACATGCAAGAGCATATAAATATACATACACATATCATTTGTCAACTTGCTCAAAACATAATTTAGTTAATATTTAAACACAGAGTGATGTATTCTGGACTGGAATAGCTCTAGCCATAGACTAGTCTTAAAATCTTTCCTTCTTCCCTCTCCTAACACCCCACCACACAAATAAATAAAACTTGGGCATAGACACCAGTGTCACCTCCTCCAGTACCACATGGCTGACAGAAGCAGAGTCAGCCCTCCTTTCCATCATTGTAGTGTCCGAGTAATAGGAGTTAACTCACTCTACTAACAGGCCTTGAATTTGCTGCATACCATCGACGGCTCAGTAGGGCCTGCCTTTGAAGCACAACGTATATACTCTTGTAGGAGGAAAGCTAAGAATCCTCCAGAACAGTGGTTTCTCAATCAAGAGAGATTGTGACTCCAGGGGCATTATCCAGGGAAATACTCAGTTTGTTTGTCACAGGTGAGGAGGGTGTACGACTGGCGTGTAGTGCAGAGAGGCCAGGGATACTGCTAAACATCTTACCCCTTACGACCAAAGGGTTACAGCCTTTTTTCTGTCTGTGCTCCCACAGCCTGCTGAACTTCCTGTCGTTTCACTGATGACTCTGTGCTATAACTGCTTCTTTTCTTCATCATTTGTCCCACTAAAAACTTAGGTCAGAAAGGACAAATGTGATAGGTCAAACTTTAAGGAGACAAATAGTGGAAGTCTGGCACAAGAGAATTTAAAAAAATTTTTTTTCATGAGAGTACAGATCCATCCATAGGAAATGTTCCAAAATCATGCTGCTCTCTGCTACTCCTCGGATGGCCTTTAAGTGTATTAGAAACTAGGGTCACAGAAATCAGGACCCAAGCCCAAAGAAACAGGTGGGAGAAGGGCGGGTTGCAGAGCAGGCATATGTGGACGTGGGAAAGAAAAAGCAGCGTGAACAAATCGCCAACAGGAAGCAGATGATCTGAGCTTTTCCAGATGTGCCTCTGTCTACAGCCTGGTGCTTTTCCACCCTTTGGAGAGTCACCGTGAGCACGTCTCCAACTTCAGTCCCTTTTGTGCATCAAGTGAATGTTCATTCATCTACTAAAATGTCCTTTTTATTTTTGAAGACTAATTTTATACAGGTTAACAGGACTTCAGAAAACACATGCCGAAATGCTCTAAAATAAATTTAATACATGAAACGGGTTTTCAGTACAAATACTAAAAAGCCACTATAAAAGTGAAATTGCATGCCAATTAAATTTGCCTGAGTTAATCAAGAATAAATGTTAGAAAATATTGCTATAATTTTTTATGTCTGATGATACGAACCATAGCACCAAAACTGCCAAAAGGCAGAAGAGAACTCCTTGCCTAGAAAAAAAATCCAATTAATTTTGGTTATGATATTTATTACATAATAATCCTTGAAAAAAGAAAGAAATGTACTATATGCTCACATAGTTCAGTGCTAATAAAATTACAGAACCTCTTAATCAAACAGAACTCAACATATATTTTTTCAATTCTCTGTTCATTATTCATTGAACAGCCTCACAGGAGCCTGGTGGCCAAACAGGGGAGGCCATATATCACTTTTAAGTATGACCACTCCAGTATTTATTAAAGGCAGTTGAAAAAGTATTTGCTATAGATTAAGACATAGATTTCTCAAAGGAAAAGCAAATTCACATCAATATTAATTAAGACATAATGTACAATAATTAAGATTGTATCATCTTTCCTTTGCTTAGCTATTTCACATTTTTAAAAGGTCAATTAATCTTGCCTGCAACTGATTAAAAATAAAAATTTATCTACATTAATAACACTTCAAAAAATTAGTAGAGGTATTTGACAAAAAATTTAATAAATACCTCCTAAGAACTAATTTGTTCAGTAAACAATACAGACTTCAGAAAGAATCTCACAAACAGATTTAAAAGTGTTTATGGTCTTTGTAGGGAAAAGAATGTAAAGTATAAGAATGTTAAGATGGAATAATCAAATGTAATAGTTCAAAAATTATACTCCTCAATAGGTACAGATGAATAAAAATAAAATTGTAAATATATGTCTATAAATTAAAAACTTTCATTACTTGAGAGTTTCAAATGTTGAAAATAAATTTTGGATTTCTGGGTAAAAGCTATATATAGTCAGTGATAGATAACTTTCTTCTTGTGTAACAATGTTGGAAAATAGAGAAATCTGTTTAAATTAAAAATTATATATCAAATTATTTATACTTAGATTGTGTATCTACAATAGTAAATTCCAAACTGTCTTGAACACACCAATAACATTTCTCTTTTTATTTCTTTTTCAATGACTCTGGCACCATCACTCAATCTAAATGTTAGATGTTCACAAGTCATATCTTCAATTATAAATTGCCTAATTAAATAAATTTTAAAAACTTCCAATCAAAATGGTGGCATAGGTAAACATGGCTCACCTCTTCACACAACCACATTAAAATTACAAGTATATTATAGAACAATATCACTCAGAATTGACAGAAATAGAGTTGAATAGAAGTCGGACAACTATGGAATTAAACCACCTCCATCCAGACTGGTCGGAGAGGTGGAGATGTAGAACAGGCTGGTCCCACATCCACGTGTGATAGATAAAAATTTGGGAGGGATATCTCGGGAGTGAGGAGGCCCAGCCCCACACCAGGCCCCCCAGCCCAGGGTTTTCCAGTGTCAAGAAGATAAGTTCCCATAACTTCTGGCTGCAAAAACCAGCAGGGAGTGCATTGGTGGAAGAAACTTCTGGAGTCGCAAGCATACTTCTTAAAGTACCCACAAAAAACTTACGCAGACTCCCTCGCTCTGAGCTTCAGCACTGGGGTAGCAGCTTGAAAGGCATACAGAGTGGAAGGGAAGTGGCTGGCATCAAGGCAAGAGCTGGGGGACAGCTTTCTCCCAGACAGAAAGGAGGGCAGATACACAGAGCCAGCCACCTGAGACCCCATCAACCTGGCTAACACTGTTTGCCTCACCCTGGAAATCTCAGGCTCCATCCCACCCAACTTATAGCTGTTAAAAGTAGCTTTTTCCATAAGAGTGGCTGGTCTGGGCTCAAGCTTCACAACTTCTTATACCCTTTCAAACATATAACAGCCGGCCTCAGTGAGGCCCCAGAGATACCTCAGCCCCCATACCTCTTGCTAAGTGGCCCTACGCAGGGCACTAGCAGAGCCAGCCTAGATTCACAGCTTGGCTTTGCCTGGGAATCTCCAAGCCCAGCATAAGTAGCAGCCATCTCAGATTGCTCCATAGCTGAGGCAGGGTGGCCCTGGAAAAACATAGGTGGGGGCTGACCTTGGCCTGCACCACCTGGGAAAATCCAGGCCCTGTGCACCTAGTGGACAGTTACAGACCACACTAAAGTACCAAGACCCTGCCCCTACACAGCTGATCCTCCACAGAAGGTGGAGGTTTGTGGTCAGTGGTCATAGCTAATCTTTGTAACTGACTGGCCTGGGTAAATCTCTCCCATTGATCTGCCAACATCAACCAAGTCTCACCTACAAGAGAAGGGTATACTTAGCCCACACAAAAGGCACATATTGAGTACCACGATTGGGTGATAAGGGAACCTGTGTGACTGGACCCTAGAGGACACCTACTACATTAGGCCACAATACCAAGGCAAGGAGTCATAGCAGCTCTACCCAATACATTGAAACACACACAGGAAGGCTGCCATATTGAGGAGACAAAGAAACATGCCCAAATGAAAGAGCACATCAAAACTCCAGAAAAAGAGCTGAAGAAAGTGGAGATAAGCAATCTATCAGATGCAGAGTTCAAAACACTGGTTATAAGGATGCTGAAGAAACTTAGTGAGGACCTCAGCAGTATAAAAAAGACCTAGTTAGAAATTAAGGATACACTAATTGAAATAAAGAATAATTTACAGGGAAACAACAGTAAAATGAATAAAGCCAGGAATCCAATCAATGATTAGGAACATAAGGAAGCAAAAAACAAAAACAAAAAATAAGAAACAAAAAAAAACCACACAAACAATCGGAATAACAAGAGGGAAAAAGAATCCAAAAAAATGAGGATAGTGTAAGCAGCCTCTGGGACAACTTCCAGTGTTCTAACATTTGCACCATGGGGGTGCCAAAAGGAGAAGAGAAATAGCAAGAAATTGAAAAGCTAATGAAAGAAAACTTCCCTAATATGGTGAAGGAAATAGACATTTAAGTCCAGGAAACACAGAGAGTCCTGAACAAGATGGATACAAAGAGGCCCACTCCAAGACACATCATAACTAAAATGCCAAAGGTGGAAGATAAAGAGATAGTTTAATTGCAGCAAAAGAACACCAGTTACCTACAGGAGAGTTCTCATAAGACTGTCACTGATTTCTCAAAAGAAACTTTGCAGGTTAGAAGGGACTGCCAAGACATATTCAAAGTCATGAAAAGCAGGGACCTACCGCCAAGATTGCTCTACCCTGCAAAGCTATCATTTAGAATTGAAGGGCAGATAAAGAGCTTCCCAGATGAGAAAAAACTAAAGGAGTTCATCACCACCAAACCATTATTAATATGAAATGTTAAAGGGACTTATTTAGGAAGATCAAAACTATGAACAATAATATGGCAATAAATACATATCTATCAACAACTGAATCTAAAAAACAAACTAAGCAAATGAGAAGAACATAGACAGAATCATGAATATGGAGAGCGTTTTGATGGTTGCCAGATGGGAGGGGATATAGGGGTGAAGAGGTGAGAGGACTGAGTAGGACAAATAGGTATTTACAGAATAATGATGGGGATGTAAAGTACTGAATAGGAAATGGAGCAGCCAAAGAAATTATATTCATGACACATGGACATGAACAATGGTGTAGGGATGCTTGAGCCAGTGGAGGGTGCTGGGTGAAGGGGAGTGAAGGGGAGTAAAAGGGAAAAAATTGGGACAACTGTGATAGCATAATTAATTAATTATAATTAATAAATAAATAAAATTAAAGATTAAATTATTTAGTTTTACACATTAACCCACCCAAAATGGAGAACTGCTTTAAAACTAGTCCCATAAAGAAATCATGAAATGAAAAAAAAATGCTCTTAAGACAAACACAAGAATATCACATAGCTGATGCTTCTCCTACTCCTGTGGAGTCTGTTTTCCCTCATAATATGGCTGATGAAGATGACAAGTGTCAGAAAGTGGGCCAAAAATATTTTTTTAAAGGATCAAATGTCTATTTTAAATATATATTCTCATCTACTATGCTTAAAAGCATCAGCATAATTTCTTATCGCTCCATCAAAACACTCTCATTTTAAAACATAACTTCATGAAAAGAGAGAAAAGCTTTGTATAAATTTTTATTAAATTTCAAATAGACCATCCTGACCTGTGTGGCTAAACTGATTGGGCATCATTCTACAAAGCAAAAGGCTATTGGTTCGATTCCCGGTCAGGGCACATGTCTGGGTTGTGGTTCAGTCCTGGTGGGGGTGTGTATAAGAGGCAACCAATTGATGTTTCTCTCTCACTAGATGTTTCTATCCCTCTCTTTCTCCTTCCCTTCCTCTTTCTCTAAAATTCAAATAACTAAAATCCTAAAAAATAGGTCAAATAGATCAGGAGAGTTAGCATGTTCAAAAAGCCTCTTGTTTACTTGGCTGTGCTCTTTTCAAACTTAGTGGCACTGTCTTCCATCTTCTGTAGTCAATTTCTAATTTTTGTTTTAAGCACAAGTATCCAGGAAAGTTAGATTAATACTATCTCCAGTGGATGGTGACCAGCATGATTACAGCTGATGTGGACAGGCAGCCTTTATAAGAACTTTACAGCTGAATTAAACACAGATCTCCCTCCCATACTTACAAGGGGATAAAACGGTCACTTCTTGCTTCTTTCACAAAGCTATGAATAGCTCATTTATGCACATAAATACAAAACCCTGTATATAGCCCTACTCTTTCCTTCTTTTGGTTATAAGCAGATATACAAGGTATTTCAATGCTCATGTGAAAAATAAAATTTCATAATGTCACATTTGATTCTTCTGCCCTCTTTGATAATTTTTCCCTGAATCTTAATTTTAGACACTAATGGAAACTGATAAAAGTCAGTCTCTCTCTCTCTCTCTATATATATATGAACACCACTATTCACTAATTATAGAAAACTAATTAGAATGTGAACAATATATTAGAATATGTATATAAAAAAGAATGTGAAGATACTTTTATTTAAATGGCAAATGTAATTCTATCCATCAAACTTCTTAGTAGTATTTAAAATGTTTTGCTCTATTTAAGATGATTGCCAACAGAAAATATAAAAATGTTTTTTTATGAAAGATTCTGGAGCTTTTCTAATTGACTGATTTAATGTTTACTAAGTTCCAAATATCTACATTTCACCTGCAGATTCATCTTCATAGAAACTCCTATGGATTTGGTATTCTAGAACTACCATTACTGAGGCTCAAAAACCAATAGAAATAAAATAAACAGAAAATAGTTAAGATATATAACTATCTTGAGGTTTGTTTTTGTGTTGAGTATGTTTGTAATCTTCTAGCTTTGCTCTCAGACAAGACTCATGAAAATACACTGAGGTTAAGCAAGACTTGATATAGTTAAAAGTTAATCTAAGTTTTAAAGGTCTGAAACTTAGACTGACTTTGAAGAAGTCAATTGACTATGAAGATGATTGGATTTTCCTTGTCCAATAAAGATAAAGCATTATGCTATAGCTTTGGCTTCTATTTTAAAGTGGAAAAAAGAAAGTGTTGTAAGGGACAGAAAGGATATTTCTTTGCCTGTTCTAATTTAAGACAGGCGAACAATTCTAAGGTGAGGACAAATCACATATATACATGTGAAAAATAATGCTTTAAGTTTGGCTTATAATATATAACGCTGTGATCCAAAAAGTTTTGGTAGCACTGTGAAATGCTACACAGCTACATTTCATTGTGAAAGGGTTCAGCTTTCCAACAGGTCCCTCACTTTATAGAAGAGTTATTTCTATAACATATGCACTAGCCATATCCTAGCCTGATAGATATATTCTTCTTTTTTTTATAATTTTGAAGACTTTTTTAAAGATGTTATTTACTTATTTTTAGAGAGGGAAGGGAGGGAGAAAGAGAGAGAGAGGAACATCAATGTGCAGTTGCTGGGGGCCATGGTCTGCAACGCAGGCATGTGCCCTGACTGGGAATCAAACTTGCGATGCTTTGGTTCGCAGCCTGCGCTCAATCCACTGAGCTATGCCAGCCAGGGCTTGATATATTCTTCTATAATACTGTTCTTCAAATTCTGACAGGACCTTCTCACTAACATTAAAAGAAAGAACTTACAGTCAAGTGATTTTCCCCATCATCATCGTGTCCTGTACGACTGCGAGCTCTTCTTCTGCCATCGGAGATGCTAAGCAAGTCTCTTCCAAAAGGTTCAGAAAAACTTCTCATCATCTGTCGCATACTTTCTCGGTGAGCATTAAAAGAATCACTGTTGAAAATACATATAATCATGTAAGAATAAATGTTGGAATTTGAGCGATAAGTAGGCAAATACTACAAAGAGGTATTTTGAAGTAATATGTTTGTTAAAAGAGACAAAAGGGACAATTGAGGAGAGTAGAACTACCTCATAAAAACTTGCTAGTCACGAATACAATTATAGACAATGGAATTAGCTTGTAAAAACCTACTATTCATAAACACAAAACTGTTCTATTTCTTATTCCCTGTAATTCACTTATGTATAATAATAAAAAGACACCTTTACATGCCTCTTATAAAATATAAATGATAAACACAAAGGAACACACATCTGTTAGCACACGCCTGCACTGAGGGCAATGGCACAAAGACTGGAAAATTCTGCTACCAGGTAGAGACCACCACGGGCAGTCAACAATATAAATTCTAGTCAGCACTGATAAAGAATGCTGGCTTATTACTTATTTTTTAAGTTAAATGTATTGGGGAGACATTAGATAATAAAGTTACATAGGTTTCAAGTGTACAATTCTACAATAAATCCTCTCTATATTGCATTGTGTGTTTATTACCCAAAGTCAGATCTCCCTTTTACCCTTTACTATAGCCCCCCACCCTCCTTTCCCTCCAGTAACCACCACACCGTTGTCTCTATGAGTTTTTGTCTGTCTTGTTTGTTCATTTGCTGCTTTCAATATGTCCCAAATATATGAGTGAAATCATATGGTTTTTGACGTTTTCCATCTGACTTACTTTTTTTATTGTTTGATTACAGTTGTCCCAATTCCTCCCCACCCCCAACCCCCTGTTGCTTTCTCCTGCCTCTGTCTGACTTATTTGCTCGGCATGGTGCTCTCGAGATCTATCCATGTTGTCACAGATGAAAGTACTTCATGTTTCCCTATGGCTCAGCAGTATTCCATTGCATACATGCACCGCATCTTCTTCACACAACCGTCTACTGAAGGACACTTTAGCTATTTCCACACCTTGGCCACTGTAAGTAATGCTGCAGTAAACATAGAGGTACACATACCTTTATGAATTAAAGCTTTCAAATTGTTAGGGGAGATACCAGAAGAGGGGTTGCTAGGTCATATGGTAACTAAATTCTTAATTTTTTAAAAAGATTTTTTAAAATTTATTTTTAGAGACAGGGGAAAGGAGGAAGGAAGAAACATCAATGTGTGGTTGCCTTTTGCATACTCTCTACTGGGGACCTTATCAGGAGTTCATTCATTTTTATTGCTAGGTCCATTGTATAATGTGTATATGATTATATCACAATAAAGTAACAAAACTGTGCCTAGGTTTATGCTATTATGAATAAAGCTTCTATAAACATTCATGGACTGATCTTTGTGTGTACACAGTTTCAGTTCTCTTGAGTAAAATACTTAGGAGTAGGATTGCTGGATTGTATGGTAAAAGTGTGTTTAATTTTATAAAACAGGGAACTGAGAGTTCCAGGTATGCTACATTCATGCTGACACTTGGTATGGTCAGTCTTTTTAATTTTAGCTATTTCAGAGGTGTTGTAATAATATCTTATTGGGCTTTATTTTGTATTATTTGTCATTCATATATCTTCTTTGATAAAAATGACTGTTTGATTAAAAAAACAGGTTGTCTTATTAAGGATTTGTATTCTAGACTTTTGATATCTGATATCTGATATCTGATAAGACTTTTATCAGATATATATTTGTATTTTTCCCAGTCTTGAACTTTCTTTTCAATTTTTTAAAAATTGTTGTTCAATTACAGTTGTCCTCATTTTCTCCCCATTACTCTCCCCTGCCCTACCTACTCCCACGTCCCACATTTAATCCTTCCCCCGACCCCTCTGCCTTGTCCATGGGTCCTTTATACATGTTCTTTGATGACCTTCCTCTTCTTTCACCTGTTATCCCCCTCCCTGTGCCCCTCTGGTCCCTGTCAGTTTGTTCTTTATTTCCATGTGTCTGGTTCTACTTTGCTTGCTTGCTTGTTTTGTTGATTAGGTTCTACTTAAAAGTGAGATCATAAGGTATTTGTTTTCCACCACCTGGCTTCTTTCACTTAGCATAACGCTCTCCAGTTCCATCCATGTTGTCATGAAGGGTAGGAGCTCCTTCTTTCTTTCTGCTGCATAGTATTCCACTGTGTAAATGTACCATAGTTTTTTGATCCAGTCACTTACTGATGGGCACTCAGGTTGCTTCCAGCACTTGGCTATTGTAAATTGTGCTGCTATGAACAGTAGGGTGCATAGGTTCTTTTGGATTGGTGTTCCCGGATTCTTAGGGTATAATTGCAGCAGTGGAGTTGCTCGGTCAAAGGGCAGTTCCACTTTTAGTTTTCTGAGGAAATTCCATAGTGTTTTCTACAGTGACTGCACCAGTCTGCATTCCTACCAACAGTGCACTAGGGTTCCGTTTTCTCCACCATCTCGCCAGCACTTGTTCTTTGTTGATTTGGTTATGATGGCCATTCTGACTGGTGTGAAGTGGTATCTCATTGTGTTGAGCATCCTTTCATGTGTCTCTGGGCCCTCTGTATGTCTTCATGGGAGAAGTGTCTGTTCAGGTCCTTTGCCCATTTTTTAACTGGATTGGTTTCTTAACATCAACTTATTCAGCCATATAGCCATGAATTTTTGTTCGTTTTTTTTGTGTTCACCAGACTATGACCTTGTGCAGTAGTTATCCCTAACTTAGTTTTCTATATGTCTTTTCTTTCACCTTTGTTTCTCTAATCCCAAATCCTTTTTTATATTTTTTCAATTAAAGTTCCCATTCAATATTATTTTGTTTTAGTTTCAGGTGTACAGTATAGTGGTTACACAGTCACATACTTCCCCCTGAGATTTGAAACAAAAGAGAAACAGATTCATAGATAGAACAGACTGACCATTAATAGGGGATTTGGAGGTTGGGTGGAAAATGGGAAGGAATTAAGAAGTACAAATTGGTGGTTACAAACAGTGACAGTGATGTAAAGTACAGCATTAGGAATATCATCAATAATATTGTAAAATCTATGTACAGTGCCAGGTGGGGAACTAATTCCAGTTCTCATAACATTTTACATATCTTTATAAGTTGTATTTGATTATTTTTAGAATATGAAGAATAAGTAGAGCTTAAAAAGGAAAGAATTGTAAGAGGAAGGTAAAAGTAGACAATCTAAGGGGAGTAAGATAAAAGAGTAATTTATGTTGATTATTCTATTGTACCTTCTTGGATTTCCCATCTGAAAAGTTAAAAAGTTTCCATTTTTATTTTATATCTTCTAATATGGGACTGCAGTATTTACTTTTATAAAATGTTCTGATATAATTCAACTTAATTTCAGTTAGGAATATTATAAACTTGATTATTTAGTCTGCCAGACTAATGAACCTACCATATATATGTGTGGTAGACAGCTTCTAAAATGACCCCTGATGCTCTCCCCTCACTAGTGTTCATGCCCTCACATCGTCTCCTTCCCTCAAGCACGGGCTGGACTTATTGGCTTCCTTCTAACAGAATACAACAGAAGTGATGGGGTGTGCTTCCAAAGTTAGGTTTTTAAAAAGACTGTGGCTTCTGCTTGGGTGTTCTCTTAGTGGGATGGCTTACTCTTGGAGAAGCAGCTGTCTCTTGTGGGGCAGCCCTGTGGAGAGGCCCACACAAATGAGCTTAGAAGCAGAGAGTTGAGACCAGCCAGCAGCCATGTGAAAGAACTTGGACATGCATTCTACATCAGTCAAGCCTTGAGATGTCACAGGCTTGACTCACGCTTTGTTTGCAGCTTCCTAAGTAACTGTAAGTCAGAACCACCCAGGTAAGCTGCTTCTGAATTCCTAACTGACAGGAATTATGACATAAGTATTTGTTTTAAGCTAGGTTAAGCAGCAATAGATCACTAACACATGTTATATCCCAAAGAGCAGTGCATAGCACATTTAAAACTCCCTTCATTCTAAGTGTTCTATTTTGAGAACACTTAGACTGGAAGAGAAATAAACACAAATCTATAAAAATAAGTAGTTTACCAGTAGGTCTGTTTCTGCATCTTAAGAAAATGTTCTACAGATTTTTCACAAAATTTTAGGCTATATTTGGGATCAAATGAATTAAAATATAAGATTCTAAGGCATAAAACAAACCTTATTTGAGGGTGGGGCTGTCAGACAGACTGAGTCTCACTCTAGAGCAGCTGGAAGTGAGGTACGAGAAGCCCATGGAACTGTGGACCGGGACACACGGGTTTCGTGTGTTAAAACACCTGGGCCAGAGAAGAACCAGCCCTGGTGTAAAGGAGCACATCCACCCTCCTGATCAAGAGTCCCTAAGGAAGAAGCTCAGAAGTGCAGGCACTGTTCTCGATGGAGGTGCTTCTCTCTTGTAGCATGTATGCAGCTGAGTGGAAACTCTATTTAAGAATGGTAAAGGGCTCTCCCCCAAATGATGGAGAGACGACCTGATATACAGGAAAATTAAATAGACATTTTAATGCATACTGTGTGTTAAGCACAGAGGCTGATTACAGGTCTGGAGGAATTTAGAGTCTGACAGAGAAGTGAGACTTACGTTTTAAAATTAAGGTTAAAAAACTTGGACATTGTAGTTTACTACTGCTTCTGTGAAAAATTACCACAAATTTAGTAACCTAAAACAACACAAATTATTTTCTTACAGCTCTGGAGGTCAGAAGCCCAGAATGGGTATTTCTGGGCTAGAGTCAAGGTGCTGGCAGGGCCCTGTTCCTTGTAGCAGGGGACAGACTGTGTCCTTGCCCTTCACAGTTCCTAGAAAATGCCTGTGTTCCTCGGCTTGCAGTCCCTTTCTCCACTTTCAAAGCCAGCAGCATAGCGTCTTCAAATCTCTGAGTCTTTAATATTTAAAGGACCTTCCTTGTAAATGGAGCCCACCTAAATAATCCAGGTTACTATCCTGTATTAAGGTTAGCTGATTAACAACCTCAATTCCATCTGTAACTTTAATTCCCCCTTGCCACGTAAAATAATGTATTAAATGG